TTAACAATCAGTTAATCACTTTTACTTTGATGATGATGATCATCAGTTGATTATTGATTGACCAGCAATTTGCATTTTCCCAATTGACCTTCAAAATTTTTTCAACAAAACAACAATTTAAAATAATCAACAATTGATAATCAATATTATCAATTTCAATTTTATTGTATTTTAATGATTAGGTTGATTTATACAAAATTGATTAGCAATTGACCAGTAAACAAACAAAGGTAAACATCATCATAATCATGATACTGGACATAAGAAATGGACATTACAATGAACAAGTAGACAAACAATAGGAAAACAACAACATGTTAACAAAGATATCATTTCAATTGAAGGGTATTCAAGGGTATTTATCATTTGTTATTCCGATGATTATGATGATGAAGACAATGGAGATGATCAAAGGTAAAGAGTTGACCTTTTTTTGGGCTGAGTGGGAGGATGAATTGTGTTTTGTGTATTATTATTAAAAGAAAGACAAAGTTATCATAATTATTAAATGATAACCACAGGGAAAATAGAGCAAAGGTAAACAAATAGATATTATCAATTTTCAAGGTAATTTACCTTTCGGTTGATTAACTACCATTAACCCTTTACTAATCTCCATTCACAATGTGAGGTCTAAAGAGAAACCACTCTCACCATCTCTCATCAATTTCCACCTCCACCCTCAGTTTCCTCCTTCCACTCACGACCCACGAGAAGAATAGTAAATGGATTGTGAACAGAGACAAAAATGAAGAACGAGCGAAAATACATTTACATATATTGAGAGAATTCAATTGTTTCGAGTTTTGTTCATTTTCGAATTTTCAAAAAGTTCTAATTTTCATCATTACCCTTTCAATTGAATGATAATTAATGGTCAGTGTGAAAGAGAAACGTTTCCAATGTAAACCGATATTGATGATAACTTTTCTTCAGTTGGAAATTATGGTTACAGGTAAAGGTAAAGTATTCGTTGTTTTTTTCTAACATAAAGATGATCATCTTATCATCATCATCATCATCTTCATCTTCTTCTTGTTTCTTTCTTTCGCTTCTTCTCTTACCTTCTTTGTAATTTTAACCAAAATCATCTTACAGGTAAAAAGTTAACTAAGTAAGTAAGCTAAGGGTCAAGCGAGGTCAGTTCAAGAAGTATATATAACTTTGTAAATCTAGTAAACAACAACAAGGAGATAAACGGTAAGCCTGAAGCAAGAACTGGTCAGTATAATGATGAATGACCAATAATAACCATCATCTTTTTTTTACTTACCTGAGTATCATTGTCTTGACCATGGTCAAGACATGTAAATGTATTTCTGACCAAGGGAAAAAGGTTGAAATCAATTCATTTGTTTCTGTTGTTACATCAATCAACTAACCAGCAAATGAAACAAAAGCTTAAATTGTTTATATTTAAATCAATCAAAATTGTAATTTATAAATAAATATGTGTATTTAAATTGAACACACACAAAGGCTATTAGATTAATTAGTCGTAATAATCAATTTTAAATTAACTGTTAATTGTAATTCATAATTCATGAGGCGGTTAAGAGATGGTTAAGTTTTGTCGAGTTTCGAGTTGTAAGAAAAGTTTTTGCACTTCGATCTTGAAAAGTTATCCCTTATAATACATTGAGATATCTCAATGATGACCATCATAATCAATAATCTGACCAATAGTTACCACACCTAATTGATTTTTAATCAAATCGATTGTCTAATCCTATAAGAAAATGTTATAGGAATGAAATGTTAAGATGTTGATGATACTTGGGGAGGGAAAAATGATATAGTTAATGAAGATAATCTTGTGGATGACCTCACCTTTTGGTTGTTGACCATTAAGAAAGTGGGAGTTTATCTGAAGATGAGGGGAAAACAACAGGTAGTATGTAGATGATGAGTGAGGCGGGTGGATGAAGATGATCAAGATCTTCATGATGATGGAAAAGTTAACAGACTAAAGACTTGTGTCCATCGAATCGTAACAAAGTAGTTTACAGAAAATTAGTAGTGGACAGTAAGTCAAACGCGTGCCAAGTATGTTTACAAACTGGACACTAATCCATTGAGATTATACAACATTAGATACACAACACACAAGGATTAAGATTGACAGATTAACCGATTTGCTTTTTTTTTTAATCATTTTCATTGTTTTATTTTTGCAATTAACTTTGAATTTTATATAATTCTAATTGTATCTCAATCATTATCGTCGTTATTTATTATTTGGCCTTTAGTACATTCGAAATATGTTGTAAAATTATCATTATCATTATCATTTGAAAGCTTTTCTCCCTTCACAACTGAGCTTCTCATTTTATATATTTGGACGCGCGTTGAACGTGTACACGCACAGACGCGTGCCAAAGGTATTGGTATAGTTTGTGAACCGTATCAACAAGAAAAGAGAGAAAAATAAATTCTCGCTTTTTCTTTCTGTATATTACCCATATGTTGATCGGCATAGAAGATAAAATGAAGAAGATGAGAGATGATGATGATGATGATCGAAAGAGAAAAAGATGAAAGGTCAAATTAGATGAAAAATAAAAGGAAAAAAAGTTTCACCATAAAAATAAACATCGAACTTATTAAAGGAAAAATTCAAATTCTTACATTCGAATCTCAGTTGATAATAAAATGGAAAATATTTCCATCTAAAGACTGATAGAGGGAAAACATTTCCAGTCGCTTTTCATATGAATAGAACTTTTTTCCCTTCAATTAGAGCAAAAAGTGAAGGTCCCACCGAGATTTGAACTCGGATCGCAGGATTCAAAGTCCTGAGTGCTAACCATTACACCATGGAACCAGAAGATGATTTCATGCTCTTAAAGGATTATACGTAACCTGTTGTCAACATTTTCCTTCAATTTTTCATGTTACAATCAAATCGCTTCTGGTTATCAAAGTTAATTTTCATTCTCATTAACCGGTAACTTGAATTGTATTTGAAAATCGCGCTCACGTTTTTCTTCAGTTTTCTTGGTTAATTTTGGTTCGATTTCACTGTCGCCATCTAGCGTATTTTTCCGTTACTACTTTTTCCATTGAAAACTTTTCGTAACTTTTTCAGGTTCACAATTAAGTTAATTGTTTGTGAAATTATTCTAATTTCATTGTCTTATAACGATTAAGGATATTGTCTAATAAAAGATTAATAAATTTCTTTGATAAATGTTAGGGGTTAAATTTTTGTTTCTTCCATTGTTTTTGATTAGTGATTAGGTGAACAATTATTTTTCCGAAACAATTAACTTTAATTGTTACAGTTAAAGACAATAATAAGAGATGTTACCTTAATTGGTTTACTTGTTTCAGGATTTTAAGTTCAAGTTTTTGGGTTTATGGTAATTAAAGTTTTCTAATATTTGTCACTTGAAGATTAACCATCATCATGTTGAAACTAAATTTAATTACTCTGGTTAATTTAATTGTGATCTTTATGGTTGTTATGTGTTCATGTAAGAAAATTAAATCAAGTAAATTGAAATCAAAAGGAATTAAAAATTGTGGTGTCAAGTATATTGCCATTGAGAGGATTAAATTTGAAAAGGTTCCAGTTATTTATCCTGGTGATCAACAGCAACAATTAACTAATCAAGGTTCACAACAATCAGTTGATTCAATTGGATTAAATCAATATCAACCTACATTTCAACCACAACACCAACAACAAAATCAATATTTACTTCATCATCATCAACAATATCAACAACAATTAAGGAACCAATTGAATTATGGTCAATCAAATCAACGACAATTTAATCAAGTTAATCATCAGCCTGAAGATTATGATGATAATGAAGAGGATGATGATGATTATGATGAGGATAACAATCGTAATCAAAAAATTCAATTTAATTATCTTACTCCTTATCCTTATTATCAATCAACTCAACGATTATCAAATGATCAACAATCAACTAATCATAATGATTATTCAACTTTTCCTGAAAATGCAAAAGTTATTCATGTTAATTGGAATCAAAATTAATTAAACTTGTAATAAATCATTAATCACAATCAATTAATAGCAATTAAAAATTGAAATGAAACAAAATCGGCAAGAGAAATCAAATCAATTTTTATTACCCAATTAGTTAATTAATTGATTATATTATTGTAACTTAGTTAGTTTTTTACAATTAAGGAAATTGTTACCAATCAAAATGAAACTTGGTTTTAATTGTTCAATGTCAAAGGTAAGATAAAATTAGAATCAAATTAGTTAATTGTTAATATTTATTATTAGACTTGAAGAAACCGGATTTAGAATGACAATTAAAATAATCAATGTTACACTCGATGATTTAAATTGTTTAAATGGTTACAATTAAAGTATAAGAAACTGAAATTACTAATTGTTACCTTTTGTCGTTTTATTTAATTACACAATTAGCTAATTGTTAATTCAGCATCTGCCAAGTAACAATTAGCTGAATATATATTTTTCTGGTTAATCATTTGTGGTACCAAAAACCTTGACAATTAAATAATCACAAATATCAACAATCAGTTAACTTAATTAATCAATTCACTTGTGGTTTAAATAAACATACGATGTCTGTAATAACTAAATTAAATTAAATCGTAACTAAATTAATTCATGAAAAAAGTCATTTTTTTTGCTTTAAATTGTTACCATTGATTGTGATAGTGATTCTAATCACAATTAAGAGCAGTGAGTACAATTAACAAGTCCTTTATAATTGTAATAGTTAAAATTAATCATCGTCTTCATTGTTATTATATATATTTTATTTACCTTTAATTGTAATAACTTGGATTGTTAATCAATCACCAACATCAATAGTTAATTGTTTCGGAGATATTTAATTGTTAATGATTCAAGTCTTCATTATATTGTGTTAATTGTTGTTATCATCAAGAGGCAAGAGATCACAATTAATGAGGAGGAGTGAATGGTGATAATCATCATCACAATTATCATTATAATCATCTGATGAAAGCATTTTCAGTTGATTGTCATTAATTGTGACTGTTAATTGTTATCAATTATTTACACCAAATAAGTGTGTGTGTGTCTAAATTTATGTTGTACTCATCAAACCAGAGGCTTAAATCAAATCATTTAGTTTAATCAATCATCCTAATGTTTACCAATCATCATTATAATCATAATCCGATATTGATTATCCCCTCAAGTGATTAAGTTAATCATTTTGATTGTGACCAAAAAATTTCACTCATTTAGTTGCCATAAGGATCAAACAGCAACCAGCAGCAATCAACAGCAATTAACAGTTTCTTTTTTTTAGTATTTCTAATAATTTAAAGTTAATCTTAGTTAATTGTGACTTTTAATCAACAACAATCAACATGAAAATGAATAAATTAATTACTCTCCTTTTAATAACAATCACATTTCTAGCCAATGGTCAGTGTGAGGATCAAAGCGGATTTAATTTCTCAATGTATCGAGTTGGGCTTTTAGCTGGTGGTAATCCAGAGGATTATCTTGAAGATGAATATATTTCATCATCATCATCATCATCATCATCGTCTTCGTCATCATTATCATCCTTGTCTTCATCATCTCTGCCATTTTTATCCTCATCACCATCAATTTCATCAGGACCTCCAGTCAAAGATATCATGAGTGATAATGTAAGTCTCAATTTTGGTAAACTTTCAATTTGATCAGCTAATTGTTGGCTTATTAACAGACTAATTAGCTAATTGTTTACCTTTGTTTTGTTTAATCATCAGGTACGTAACAAAGGTGGATTTTTAATTCATATTTTCATCTTGATTTACATTTCCCTCTCATTGGCTTTACTATGTGATTCCTACTTTGTCCCAGCTCTTCAAGTGATTAGTAAAGGTAATTAAAAGTTAATTGTTACTATTAATAATTTGTTGAGTTTAATCTTGTTCACAATTAGATTTAATTTGGGTTTTCTTTATCATCAACAATTCATTTTAATATCTACAGGTTAATGTATTTACCTGAGATTATGATTAAACCTTTTAATTTATTGTTGACAATTCTGATCAATTGATTATTGATAACTGATTCAATTTGATTGTCAAGGTTAGTAGGTAATCAGTAAACAATTAATATCATGTTTAATTGAGTTATTTAATCATGAACAATGGTAATAAATATTAACTGATGGATTATTATTATTATTATTTTCATTGGGTTGACTACAATTAACTAATAACGATAATTCATTGATTGTTCAGAAAAGTCTATTGACCCAAACAATTTAATTTATTGATAAACAATTAATCAGATGAAAAAAATGGAAAAGGTTGATTATGTTTAACTAAATTATCTTATCAATTCACACTGTTGACAATTAGTTGATTGTTAGCAACTAAGTGAAAAATACAAATTAAGATTGTCTGGTTTAACCTTTAAACCATTGATTGTAACAATTAGTGGTGTGTGGTTCAAATTGATTAAATTCATTGTTTGTGTGTCTTTTTCATTATTTAATTAAGATACCAAAATGATACATTGATTGTTCAAATGAACACTTAAATTGTGATCAAGTTTTTTCCGGTCTAATCAGAAATTATCAACCACAATTAACTAAATTGATTGACCTTTTCCAACACCAACAATGATCAAGAAAAAAAAGAGACCGGAAAAAAATAACAATTAAATCCAATTGTTCAGATAAATTAACCGGATATCAGCTGATTGTTGATTAAAATACTAATTATTAACCTTTAATTGTTTCTCAAAGGGCTAAAAATACCCGATGATGTCTCAGGAGCGACACTTATGGCCATGGGCACTTCAGCACCAGAACTTTTCACCTCATTAATTGCACTATTTCAAGGTGAAGGTGACATTGGAACAGGTAATAAGCATATTAGCTGACCATTAGTGACCCATTTATAATTGATACCAATGAAATTATTATTATTATTATATTAGGTACGATTCTGGGAAGTGCTATTTTCAACCTTGTCGGTGTACCAGCGGTTTGTGGCCTGTCCATTTACCTGTGGGGAAACACCCCGTCCAAGGTATCTCCGTTTCCGGTTGTTCGAGATTCAATTTTTTACTCCGTCACAGTTTTGGCTCTTTACTTGACCCTTAAAGATAATATTATTGACCTGTAAGTATAATAACCAAAAAGTTAAAAGGAAAAAATTGAAAATTCGAAAATTATTCATTTCTATTTCTAATATTTTCTTTTCTTTGTTGACCATAGTCCAGAATCGAGTGTATTAATTTTACTTTATGGAATCTACATTTTTATCATGTATCTTAACTCGAGAATATCTCATTTCATCTCTACTCTCTCAATGTCATCTCTCGATTCAAGTTCATCTTCAGAGATCAATGAAGAAAAGCAACTTGTCGGTGGAGTGATGGTGGAAAATATTCTATCGGTTGGAACCAAAGATAAATTCAGTTTATCTACCGAGTACAATGTTCACCATCATGATATTGAACATCGCAGCTACTCACCTTCATGTAAATATTGATAATTACCAACTAATCACGAATCGTTCAGTTGATTAACCCTCTCTCTCTCTCCATTTAGATGGTTCATTCAAAAATGAAATTGATCCGATTGATGATAATGAAGATGAAGATGTTGATTGGATTATTGAAATTCCATTTTTAAAATATTTCCTCGCTCCCGCCAATCTTATCTTCAAACTGACCATCCCTGACCACAACAAGTGGACATCACTTACTTTCATATTTTCATCAGTTTACATTGGCCTTTTAACCTATGGCGCTGTTTGGGCTGTTAATCTGTTAGGTAAAAATTAATCAAACAATTAGCAAGTAGAAAGCAAAAAATAATCTTAATTGTTTTCCCTTATTCCATTTAGGTTACACTCTTGGTATTCCCGATGCTATCGCTGGAGTGACCATAATGGCCGCTGCTTCATCAGTACCTGAATTAGTTTCCAATATAATCATCATTAAGAAAACAGGTAAACAACAATAGGAAACAATTGAAAACAATTAGAAAAAAACTATTCTCATCTTTGATCTAATCATTTTTTTTTGTCTTCTCATTGATTTTAATTGCGTTTTTCTAATCACAATTAAGGTAAGGCAAACACAGCGCTTTCCAATGCAATCGGATCAAATGTATTTGACATTTTAATCTGTCTCGGAGTACCTTGGTTCATCCGGATCGTAATTAATTCAGTTCAGAATATTAATCCGACCTCAATTCACCTTGAAAGTCGTGCCCTCCCCTTGACAACTTTATCAATATTAACAGCGATCTTGGGTCTCCTTGTAATCCTAAGATTATCCCGTTGGAGATTAGGATTGGCTGTTGGATTAATGTCCACAATGGTTTATATTATTTTAACGGTTTTAAGTTGCTCACTTGGTGTATCAATGTAATAGTAACTTTTTTGTTCACAAATTCATTTTTTACTAATCACAATTAACTAAATTTTGGTAACTTATTAATACACAATTAATATATTAATATTAATATGAAAAAAGAGGAAAAATTTTAATTACAATCCAACAATTAATCATATCAATCAAATGCACAAAAGGTTGTCAAGTTAATCGTTGCTGTTAATTTGAACAATTTATTATTAGCAATCAATATACTGCATTGTGATAACATTAATTGGTCACAACAATCAATAAATTGTTTACGAAATTGTTGACAAATTGTCGCGATTTAACCTTCTTTTTAAACACTAATTGTTTGATTGTGACGAAATGTTTAACTCAATTGATTTGGTTAATTGTCGAAATGGATTCACTTTAATTTGTTTAATTGGTTGTTCTTTTCAATTACAACAAATATTGATCAATTATCTTAATTACGATTATAAAACTCGAGTTACCATTTCGACACAAGGTCAAGTAGATCTACCTGATTTGGTCATTTGTACGGAAATCGTCCTTCTAGTTGACCCGATTAAATTTGTCCTTCATCAACCTGACCTGGCCTCGAGTATGAGTGCCAATGATTCACGATTATGGTTCAAATTGATACAAACAAATATCCACCCGTTAACCGAAAAGTTAACAATGTCACTTACTATTGACCAAATATCGGATATACTTTATACACCCGTTGACCTTTTCGACAAAGTGACCATTAAAAATAAACACACAACCAAGATCTACGATCTTTGTCATGTCCGAAGATTTTATAATGACGAGAAAGTTTGTGTCGCTTTCCAGTGTAATTATGATAACCAGGTAACCGAATTAGAATCGACCAGTCAATTTGAATTCCATCAACCAAATCTCGTACGAATTCATCTTAATCAGTCCCTTTTTCGTCACATCTCACGACTTTTTGCCACTCTCGTCAAGTCGGAAAGATTACCTTGGGATAAACGAAACAATTGGGCCAGTTTAGCGCTTACAGGTGAATCGAATCTTCATGCAATCGATTTTATCATTCTAAGGACAGTTTCTCTCCCCGCTCCGTTTTCAACGAACTGTTTACATTATCCAAATTTCGGTTTTACTTCTCGAGCCTTTGCTCGTCAGATTTGTCTCAATAATGAGTCGCTTCGTTTATTGGGTAATCCTTTCCATTCGACAGTCACTGAACCTGACCTTGAACTGAGTTTAGGTACTCCAAGGTACAAGAACAACTCTGGAAATATGACCTACAAAAATATTATCCATGAAATTGTTCGTAAATGTTACCAAAAGTTTTCTAACGTTGACTGTATGGATGATGTCGTTCTAGTGGAGGCCAATCCTGCGATTCGATTAACTCGAAACGAGACCATAATTCAGCTTAACACCAACAAAGGTCCAAACTTTGTCGTCATCTTAGAACCAGCCAGTACCTTGACGGAACTTTGTATCTCAATAGCAAGTATAATCTCTTCCTGGTTTGGCATTTCTCTTTCCTATCAAACTCAAAAGATGATGGAAATCTTAAAAATCTTCAGTAAAAACTATCTACCTAAAGGTCAACCACATTCGAGGTGGAAAAGTTTATTCAACAAAAAGAGCGGAAACAAATCGACCCAAAGGTACAAAGGTAAAAATGTTCAAAGTTCGAAAGGCAAAGTTTTCATAAGAAAAGACTACACAAATCGCCCTTACATCTTGGCCTATCAAGAGTCACTTTCCAAACGATATAACTCGACAAGAATGAGCGGCCAATCACCCGATCTATACCTTGGGTGATAATTTTCAATGTAAATTTGAAAACAAAGTTCGTGAAGTACTTTTGTCCAAACATAGATGGCGCTTAGTCCTTGGAGATTTTGATAAACGATGAAAATAAAGATAACAGTTAACTTTTAGAAAATTAATTATTGAAATAATACAAACGATGGAGAAATTGCTTGAAATGAGACTGGTGAGAGGCCGATACGAAATAGTGATGAGCATTTTTGGTAGAGATCAAAGGATTTGTTAGTGAATCTTGTTCAACCCTTTGGGTTGTATTTATCTTTAATTATATTTATCTTCAATAAAGATTAGTCATTTTTTGAGCTTTGTAAAATAGTAATTTGAACTCGACAGGAGGATGAAATTGGACATCATCTTTTTTTGTATTCACTTCTTTTCATCTTCATCTTTTATCCACCTCACTATTTTATCATTCTAACTGTACATTCAACACAAAATAACAAGTACAACTACTAGTCAATAACTACCCTCTCTTCCTCCTCCTCCTCCTCCTCCACCTCATCTTCATCTTCATCCACCTCCTATTCCATCTCCTCCTTACCTCTCCCTCTCCTACTACTACTTTTACTATTTAGTATTGCCCTTGGTCTTCATCCTCATCATTTTTAGATCGCCCCATCTGCTGCTCTACATTTGCATCCACATCTCTATCTTCATCTTTACAATCACTATCATCTTCATCCTCATCCTCATCCTCAAATTCATCCTCAACACTAGCAATTCATCTCGTTTTTCTTCATCATTCTATTGTATCTCTCTCTCTCTCTCTCTTTCTTCTGTAGATATGATAAAAAAGTAAAAGTTTATCCTTATGCTACAAAACTATTACAACAACAAGTAAAAAGTGTTGGTTAAACTTGTTGTTACAATTTTATTAGAGAGAGAGAGAGAGAGAGAGAGAGAGAGAGACAGAAGACAAAAATGATGATGATGATGATGATGTTCATTTTTGATGATGCTCCCTCTGTCTTTTTTTGTTATTGTCATATCATCCTCATCATCATCTTTATCATCATCATAATCACATCACCCAACTAATTTCAATGACAAGTCTTTTAATTGTGTTTTCTTTTCGTGTTTTTATTTTCATCCTATTCTTCACTCCATTTACTCCTCAACCTCATCATCTCTAATTTTTCCTCTTCCTCTTCCTTATCCTCTTTCTCCTTTTCCCTCCTTCTCCTCCACCTCCTCCTCCTCATCCCTTATCATCTACCACCTTATCATTGATGGTCTTTTTCATCCTCATCATCCTCATCCTCAACAATTTGTCATATACCACAGAAATTATATCAAGAAGAAAAAAAGAAAAATTTATTTTAATCCAATCTCAATACAAACCAATCAACAATCATGAACAATTCATATTGTCACAAACGATGTCAAATCCATTCAACAACCATTAACCAATAATTCATATTCCAAAACAATTAGCTCATTAGCTAAGGCATAAAACAATCAACCATCAATCGAAAGGTAAACATCTCAAAACCCTAATTACGAATGCAAGATTATCAATCATAACGGAGAAAGAAAATAAATTAAAAGATCAATAAAAACTTTGGAGAAATAAAAAAGAAATGAGATCGAAAAGAAAAATAAAAAGTAAAGTCGAAATTAGAACAAAATTTTTTTTTCTCTTTTTCGATTCGATAAAAGTAAAATAAATATTAATACTTTAAACGTTGATCCACAATTAACCCATGGAAGGCAAGTTGAAGGGCAGAAAATTAAAGCTGATTAGCTCGATTATTGTATCACTTGCATGACTAGTCACTCGACTCGGTCAAGTGTCGACAGTCGGCCCATCGAGTTGCCTTCATCCTCGAAGGTCACGTGCTCTTGAAAAAACAAAGAAAAAGAATTTAACTTTTCACTTTCTCTCTCTCTCAATCTCCATGATGATAATACTACAATAACAATAAATGAATGAATGAGTAGAGGAGGTGGGAGTCGAGGTATAAGTGTGTCACAACAATCATAACTCGACTTGACTTTTAAACATCAACAGAAGGTGAATGTTCAAAAAAGTCGATTAATCGATCGAAGATTTTTTTTCCTCAACTTTAATCATTATCGATGATAAAAAATGATGATAACATGTGATAGTCAATTGATTATTGTTATGCTTTGCTAATTTGTCCCTTGCACACACATACACACACTAATCACAATTCTGAACAAATTGGACAATTTAAATTGTTATCGAAAATGTTACATTTCCATATAATCAACAATTAACTTTCCCGATTCAGTTTCATCTCATTTTTCATGAGATTATTGCATAACTATCATTATATCCTCTCTCTCTCTCTCATCTTAACTGATTTAATTCACTAATCTCTTTCCTTGGACAATTAATCAACTAACTTAATATGTATTTCAGTTGTTTATTATTTTCCCTTTTCTTGATTGTTAATATGATGAATGAGTTAATGATAATCATTTAATATTTGCAAAGTGTAATAACCATGCAATTTAAATTGCCGATTGCAATGTAAACAAATGAAACAATCAGCTAACTATCATCATCATTTAACAAACAATCAAACATGATAAATATTCATGAAAATTATTTGAACAACGAGTTGGTGAAAAAAAAAACGTTTCAATTTCAACAAATCATTTGTTACAAAATCCACAATTTAACCAAAAAACCTCAACAATTGATTGTAATCAACAACCATTTAAATATTAATTGGGTGAAAATTTAATTTAATTGTGTCACCTTGATAATATCTCCAAGGATAATCTGATATCCATTGAGATTAACGGTTTGTTTAAGTTTTTATGGTTTAGTATTTTTGTTTTGTTTATTATCCAAGATTAAGGTTCACCAATTAGTTGATAATATATTACTTTGATTGTCATCATCATCATGCTTACGATTTATTAGATTAGTGATGATGATGAAGGTTAATCCACTTGCAATAGTAAGTGATTAGTTGATCAATAATCAAGCCAATATTGGTATTGGACAATCTCGATGAGAGGACTTGATGATTAAGGTGAAATTGGATTAACATTATTTACCGTTCAAATGAACAGCAATAAAAAAACGTAGAAATGGCTAACCAACATTATCCTAATTAATTAAATTAGTCGATTGAAGGAGATTATATAAAATTGTATTTCTGTCAATGGATTAATTTTCAATCAATATATTGATAAATGTCATTGATTGTTTTACTATTGGAAACAATTTTTTATGGTTAATTTTAATTGTAATCATTTAACAGATGATGGTTTTAATCTTACCAACAATGAGATTAACTATTTGGTATTGTTCATTATTGTTGATTGGTTTGTATTGAGATTGGATTAAAATAAATTTTTCTTTTTTTCTTCTTGATATAATTTCTGTGGTATATGACAAATTGTTGAGGATGAAGATGAGGATGAGGATGAAAAAGACCATCAATGATAAGGTGGTAGATGATAAGGGATGAGGAGGAGGTGGAGGAGGGAAAAGGAGAGAAAAGGAGAAAGAGGATAAGGAAGAGGAAGAGGAAAAATTAGAGATGATGAGGTTGAGGAGTAAATGGAGTGAAGAATAGGATGAAAATAAAAACACGAAAAGAAAACACAATTAAAAGACTTGTCATTGAAATTAGTTGGGTGATGTGATTATGATGATGATAAAGATGATGATGAGGATGATATGACAATAACAAAAAAAAAGACAGAGGGAGCATCATCAAAAATGAACATCATCATCATCATCATTTTTGTCTTCTGTCTCTCTCTCTCTCTCTCTCTAATAAAATTGTAACAACAAGTTTAACCAACACTTTTTACTTGTTGTTGTAATAGTTTTGTAGCATAAGGATAAACTTTTACTTTTTTATCATATCTACAGAATAGAGAAAGAGAGAGAGAGAGAGAGAGAGAGAGAGAGAGAGAGAGAGAGAGAGAGAGAGAGAGATACAATAGAATGATGAAGAAAAACGAGATGAATTGCTAGTGTTGAGGATGAATTTGAGGATGAGGATGAGGATGAGGATGAAGATGATAGTGATTGTAAAGATGAAGATAGAGATGTGGATGCAAATGTAGAGCAGCAGATGGGGCGATCTAAAAATGATGAGGATGAAGACCAAGGGCAATACTAAATAGTAAAAGTAGTAGTAGGAGAGGGAGGAGATGGAATAGGAGGTGGATGAAGATGAAGATGAGGTGGAGGAGGAGGAGGAGGAAGAAGAGAGGGTAGTTATTGACTAGTAGTTGTACTTGTTATTTTGTGTTGAATGTACAGTTAGAATGATAAAATAGTGAGGTGGATAAAAGATGAAGATGAAAAGAAGTGAATACAAGAAAATGATGTCCAAATGTTAGTTTTTTCTTTAGCCTATGGAGGGTGAAATGAGAGGGAGGAATGAAGAGGAAATATAAATAATAATATAAAACAATGAGTTGGAAAATTAGTTTGGCCCAAATAACAACAATGAAACTGGTATTAGATTGATAAATGGGCTGCCCTTTCAACCTTAAACAACCTTTTTCATTGAGATAGTGTTTGGTGTTATTGTATTGATAATGATAGTAAAGTCTGTGCAGTAGTAGGAAAAAAGCATCCTCATCACCAAGAAAGAGAGAGAGACAAAGTGAGAGTGGGGTGGATTTTGTTAAAGGGAAGGTGGAAGTGCAACTTGTTACTATTTATTATATTGTAAACGAGTTGTATGTTCATATTATGATATTGATAGTTTATTATTATCAGTCCGTATGTTGATAATATATTTATATATATATTTGGTTTAATGATGATGATGGTGGAGGAGGAGGAAGAGGAAGAGGATGAGGTGGAAGGTGGGAGAGGGTGGAAAAAGTGTGATAGAAAAATAATTCACTTCATGTTGCTCTTTTGCTTTGCTTCATCTCTCTCACTTTCTCTTCCTTATCTTCCACCTTCTTCTGCATACCCACCCCACTCTCTCTCTCTCTCTCTCCAATTCTGACCCTCTCTTCACGTTCCAATGATTCCTGTGCATGGTGAGGTGGCGATATCAATGACTTTGGTTTCAATAACAAAACTACCTCACAACCACTTGTATCTTGTTGCCTTGGTGAGTTGACTTTTTTTTTGCATTCACTGTAAAAGTAACACTGAATATTATTGATAATATTGTTGCTCATGCATCAGGAAGTTCACCCCAACTCACCCTAATTCATTATCATATAAATGCATCTTTGCAAATTTTTGCTTTGGCAAGAAAATCGCGGTTTCAACAGAAACACTAATCCGCTTAAGAAAACAATCTTAATTAGTGTTAATTGATTTTTCTTTTTCTGACAAAAAAAATCAACACAGAGAAAGTTAAGATTGTTTAAAGGTAAATGGGGTTATCACTTTTGGTGGACTTACGACAATTAAACCTTATTGTTTTGTTTTTAATCGTTGAAACCGTGAAGAGTGTCGTCGATCAATCAACCCACCGACCCTTTTCCTCCTCCCACCCTTCAAATGATTCATCACGGTTTCGACATCTTATGTCCACATAGATAATCAGGCAGGTATGATGATGATGATTAAGATGACAAGAGAAAAAATTTTCTTCTTCTTCATCTTCTTCCATTGATCTAATACTATTCCTAATATTCCCTCGAGAGTTAAAACGTAGTATTTCTTGCCGATGGAAATAAACGTGGTCCACCTTAATTCACAATGGAAGAAGAAGAAGAAGAAGAGAGAGAGAGAGAAAGAGGAAGACGAAGATGAGATGAGATGAGAAAAGTGATGAGGAAGATGAGGAGAGAAAAGATCAGAGATATTGAAAAGGAAAAGGAAAAGATATCCAAGAATTGAGATAATCTGATGATGGACTGTAAATGAATTCACAGGAAACATTTCTCATCATCATCATTAACAATTATCATCAACAATCAATGGGAAGAAAAATTCAATCAACAAAAATAAAAAAAGTTCAACAATCATTTAATTAATAATATTTACCTGTGGTAATTAAACAAAAAAAAAGAGAGAGAGAGAGAGACTAATCAAGATTTACCTTGATTAAAACCTTTATTGTTAATTAGTTGTTATTTTAACAGTAACCAAATCCGTTGATTGTTTGATTTACAATTAAAATGAATGGTGAGTAAATTAAACAACATGAACACAATTTTTTAAACTATTCAAATGTAAACAAACAATGTACCGTTATTTTTAATCAACTCAAGGGTATCATTTGACAAAGTTTAACTTGATGATGTTTATTATTTTGTTATTAACATGATACAGTTACAGAATTGATGAGATTTGAAACTGAATTTGAATTAACATTTGCAAAGAGAAGTGAAAAAAAAACGAAAAGTATAAAAAGTAAAAAAATTTCCACTCAGATTGAGATTGAGATGATGATGGAAGATGAATCTTGAATATGCCCTCAGGTTATTCTTGTTATTTTCCGTTATCATGTTCACCCTAATACTGATTATGAATAGTAATCATATAAAGGGTGATCCGTACTAATCGATTTAAGGATTACCCCTGAGGTTACATTTAAGGTTATCATTATTAGCTTCATCCTTTTGTGTTCCTACCAAATCCTCATCCCCTCTTGACTAACTTCATCTTCATCCCTTATCATCATCACCATAATATGATAATCATCCTGATTATCATGATGATGATGATGATATAGCAAAGTTGAAAGCTACAAAAAAAACTGTAATCATCATTAACAGTGAAAGTTATTAAAGCAGAAACTAAAACGAGGTTGAAATTTAGTGATGATGAGGATGATGATGAGGATGAGGATGAAGATGAGCTATAGATATGATATTTTTATGTAACTTTCAGGGTGAAGGAAATGATAATAATAATTATAATTAAATGGGCAACTATCATTGAAGATTGATGAATGAATAGACTGGAGAGTTGGATGAAATTATCATGGGATGAGGGATGAAAAATGTACTTGATAGTGACAAGTTGCTTAGACTAACGGTAAATATATTTATTCATTTGTTGTTAACAATTGAAAATCATTCATGATAATCAAGGTGATAAGAAGAGGATTTTTTTTTGTTACAACAAACAGGGTAAAAGTTAAGAGTTAATCTTCATGTCAATCTTGTTGAAAAAAAAACAAACGGAAATGGGGGAAAAACTACAAATCTCTAAGAGTCTTAATCATCCCCAAGGCGAACGAAGCAAAAAAATAATAAGGAAGTGATTAATTTCCCGCTAATTTAACATAGCAAATGATAAGTTGACCCATAAGGATAACATTTATATGGAAGAGGAAAAGTTTCCAACAATTTATTGAATAATTTTAATTGTCACAATTAATTATATTGGAGCAAACAATCAATATCTAATAGTTGAAAAGAGAGAGAGAGAAAAAGCTTTAAATTTATTGACAAATTGAAACAAATGATCAACTAATTAGCCGAGAAAAAGTAGCTAACCAGCAATTAGATTATCTATCCCACCAAGGGCAATAGTTTGCACCAAGAGGGTGGGAATTGGCCCTTCGGTGTGAGGGTGGATCATGGTGCTTACCAGTGGACATGAGTGCACATGAATATGGAAAACAGGGTGAAAGTGAAAGTGGGTGGCGGGGGAAGAGGTGGAAAGTGTTACCCCTTTGGCGCAAGAGTGGCTGAATTAGTCGGTGTGTTTTTTAATCACCACGACTCCTCCCACATGAGATTGTGCACCTATAATCTCATGTTGACCTCCTCCTCCGGTGGGAGTAAACCAATGGTAAGAAATATACACTCAGTGGAAAAGCTTTTGCGCATTAAAAAACTTTTCCCTCTCTCACTCACTCTCTTCATTTCTCTCTCTCTCTCTTTCTCTCTCTCAGTTTATCTCACTTTCACTATGTCTTTCTTTTCCCTGAAAAATCTTCATACTGATCATCATCTTCATCATCATCAACAACAACAACAACAATAACATTGTTTCATCATCATCATCATCCTCATCTTTAAGCATCAATTGTTATTCATATCAACAGAAGCAACAACAATAACAACAACATCATAAGAAAAAGTTTCATCAACAACAATTAGCAAAACCCTTTAAATCATTTTATTATTGTCTTTGTTTTGTTTTGTTTTGTTTTTATCAACAATTCAGCAAAATGGATACAAGTTCAATGTTTGGATTAACTAATAATCAACCCAATGTGCCACCCAACACATGTATGGCCCCTTACCCCGTGTGGCCGGTGGGCTTGGGTCGAGCTCATTTTGAGAAACAACCACCGCCGAACCTGAGGAAGAGCAACTTTTTTCACTTTGTTATCGCTCTTTTTGATAAATTTGGTCACCCGGTTGAAATTGAACGAACCTCATTCGTGGGGTTCATTGAGAAAGATCAAGTAAGTACCAATAACCACAAACACCACCGCCACCACGATCTCCATCACATCGACGCAACTACGAATTGATTGAGAAAAAAAAAATTTTTTTTCTTCAAAAATTCGAAAAGAAAAAAGCTTTTCTCATTTTAAATTCTGTTTCTTTTTCCATTTATAAATCATCCTCTTTTCGTCCTAATCTTTTAATCTTCGTGCTATCGACAACAACATCGACAACAACCTCGACCACAATGAACCTCGTTATGAATTTTGTGTGTGTCCAAAAAATACCTTGACCATCACTTTGTGTGTCCAAACCAAGGAACCTGATACTCAGAAAACCAACAATGGAATACATTATTCACTTCAATTGGTTTACTCTAATGGTGTCCGGCAAACTCAAGATTTATATGTAAGACTGATTGACTCTGTCACCAAACAAGCGATCGTCTATGAAGGTCAAGACAAGAACCCGGAAATGTGTCGTGTTTTACTGACCCATGAAGTTATGTGCAGGTAAGTGACCCACTCAGTCCACCAAGTGACCATTCAAACTTTTTGTCCAGGAGAAAGTGACAATTGTAAACTGATTGATTGATTGATTGTGATTTTGGAATCTTTGAAAAGATGGACAACAAAAACAAAAGAAATCTCTCTCTCTCTCTCTCTCTCTCTCTTGATCTAATCATATTTGATGATCTTTGATTGACCTTTAACTTGATTTCTAATCATCATCATGGTCATCTCATGATCTCTTTGTTATCATGATAGAACTGATTAGTTAATCATTACATTCCAATGAAAACTGTTGATTATGATGATGATTAAGTTCATCGAATAGCAAAATCATGTCAATTACTTGATTGTTGATTAATCTTTTTTTTCCTCATCGTAATCAACAAGATGATTATGATGATGATGATCAATATGATGACTGATTTAAAGATGACAAATATTTGGAATTCATGAGAGAAGCAAAAAAAAAAGATTAACTTAATCTTGTTCTCAATTGATTCGCAATTAATCAACCAATTAACCAATAGAATTAAATGGAAACAATTGTCATAAAATCTATTCAATCATTTGCAACAAGTAATTAACCTTTTGTTTACTAATTCGATTCTTTTTTTTGTCCTACTTTCTCTCTCTCATTGCTGATCATTCATTGAAATTTTCCTTGGACACACTGACCAACCTTGACCACTCGATAGCCGTTGTTGTGACAAAAAAAGTTGTGGTAATAGAAATGAAACTCCATCAGATCCAGTCATCATTGACAGGTAAGTGATTAACTAATTATCATGATGATTTTTGTATCATCATAATCATTTTCATTTTGTCTATTTGATTGTCAAATGAATTAATTATTTAAGTGTAAATGGAAATGGTTGAATGGTTAATGTTAATCATTATCATTATTTATATACCTTTAAGCTTAAAGCTAAATGATATTAGTTTCAATTCCAGTTAATTATTAATTCATTTCAAGTTATATATCTTGACCGTTATGATGATGATGATGATGATGATGATATGTAATACGGTTATGTTTAATAAGAGATGATGATAATATGATGATATATAATTCAAGGTTCATGATAATGTTGATTTGGTGAAAGTCATATTTTCAATTATGTTATTTTTTTGTTGAGTATAAATGAGGAAGAGGGTGAAGTTTACTTGTGATGGTGGTGGTGGTGGTGGTGGGAGGAAGATGAGGATGAGGAAGGATGAAGAAGGATAAAAGATGACGAAGGTTAAGCCTGTTGAAAAGGGATGAAAATGGATTGAGAAGAGAGGATAAAGATGAGGAGAAAGAAAAAGATTTATCTTGATATTTTGTCTTTTGATGGAAATTTTTCCTTTTCCATTGGATTTAAAGGTAAAATGGAAAAGATGGAAATTGAGAGAGAGAGAGAGAAAAGTGAGTGAGTGAGTGTGGATCTATGTTCGATGTGGATTGTGTCTTACTCTTAATCTGTAGCTTCCTCTTTTGGTGGATTAGTGTAGTAGATTTACAATATTTTTCTCTCTCTCTCTCTTCTATCATAATGGATTGTAAATTCGTGTGTTTGGTTATCCATTGGCAACTTTTGCTTTTCTTTCATATTCTTGTTTAACTTGATCATTTACCTTTTACCTGATGATGAACACGATGAATATCCAGTTGATGATGATCATGTTGATCCAATTATAGGTTCGAAAATGAATCTAAGTGAATCGAGTGATTTTTTCCCTCTTGTTTTTGTTGGGATGAAGATGATAATTATTATGTAAAGATGATAAAGATGAGAATGTTAATGATGAGGAAGAGAATTATTTTGTGAGTCAGAAAGTGAGAAAGTTAAATTTAATAGAGAGAGAGAGAGAGAGAGGAGAGGAGAGGAAGATGAAATAATAATATTCTTGTGAAAAGATGATGAGGATTCCTGATGAAAATCATCATCATCATCATGCAAATGATGGCGATCTTGTTACACTTTGAACTAATTAAGGTCGATAATTAAAACTTGTTATTCAATCCTTGCAGCGAGGAAAGTGAGAGGGTTAACCATTTTCAGAATGAAATTTGGTTGATTTAATTGTGAAAATGAGCATAATTAATGATGATTAACAATTGAATCAACTTTAAATTGCTTATTGTTTGGCAATATTATATTATATTGATTGTTTGATTGTTAATGTAATTGTTTAAAGCTCAGGTTAAATTGCCATTAAAATGATATCTGTTTGTAAAGGTGTTTATTTGTTATGTGAATCCATTTGATCAGGTTAAACAAACTGATAAGCAATCAAGTTAATCACAATTAATCTTGACCAATTTGAAATTGAGCTTTACATTGTATTAATATTATTGTTACTTTATTATCAAACTGTATATATGTTTTTTTTATATAACTGTAAACCTTTTTAACTTTGACCATTGGTCAGTTTGGTATTAGAAAACCAGATTTTCAGCCTTTTCACCAGGAATGAAAGTTTGAAAATTTCATTCAATCTCAGGGGATTCATTTGATTCTGATGATTTTTTTTCCTTCTTCTTGTTTTGTTAAGTTTATTTTTCATTGAAACTTTTTCCTCTCTCTCTCACTTTCACCATATCATTAAGTTATCATATCCAAAGGTTAACAAGTGTGGGGTGGGAAGCTGAGGATCACACAGAGTGGAAGATGAACTTTGGTGAAGGTGGGAAATTGGGAGTGAGAGTGAGAGTGGTGGTAATGGAAAATGTTGGATTAGTCTTATTACTTTTTGTTTTCTTCTATTTCTCCTTTTAAAGTTAATCAATTGATTGTTATTATCTGTCTCTAAATTGTTGTTCTCTTGTTGATTATTATTGTTCTTGTTGATTAATTAATTGTTCTTGCTTTATTTTTTTCTATTTTCAGATTTTATCTCAAATTTTTCCTCAAATGTAATCAGAATTGTTTAAAAAATGCTGGAAATCCTCGGGACATGAGGAGATTTCAGGTAAGATTAATTTAATTGTTATTCTAAATCAACCTGATTAAGTTGATTAACTTGTTTGATTATTTTTGAGACAAAATATTATCAAGAAAATTGTTTAATTGTCTCCATTTAAAGTTAATTACTTGGTAAGAAATTAATATTTACTCTTTCATCATGATTAAAGTTGATTGTTGCAAACTTATTTAATGATGATGATGATGATGATTAGATTGTCGATTCTGATATTGAACTTTGTGTTTGTGTACATTATGATTATTATTAATATTTAAATTGTTGATTAAGAGGAGAAGAAGAAAAAAAAAGTTTTCTTTTCCTGAAATTTTCTCATTTGCATGATGATGATAATTTTTTTACTCTTCTTCATGATCTCATGGAAAATATCAACATGTTAATGATTATGAAGATGACCATTGGGCATTGCATGAGTATTTCAACTTCCTCAGGGATTTTGAGTTGATTTTTTCTTCTTCTTCTGTAAATATCATTACAATTTTTACTCAAGATTTTGATGATATTTTTGTCTATGTTTCATGTTAATCATGATGCTGATTATCATGATTGAAATATCTTGATAATGATAATATCACTTAAAGATGAAGATGCTAATATATATAAAAGTTTTGTTTTTTGTTCTAATAAACTTTTCTCAATGAATTAAATTAGAGATGAAGTTAATTAAAGATGGATGATGAACTGTATGAATATTAGGCGGAGGAAGATAAAGAAGAGGAGTGGGAAGGCGGTAGTGAGTGAGAGAGAGAGTGAGAGAGAGAGAGAGAGAGAGAGGAGGTTGTTGAGGGTGGAAAAAAATTCATATGCATAATGAATATGAACTTATTGAATATGTAATATTATTCATTCCTTATATTATCATCATCAGAATTAATTTCCATGGGAGTGGTAGGTATCATGTGAACATTATCAATGGTCTTTGTAGTAGTAATTCATAATATAAGTTGAATGGAATCAAGAGAGAAAACATTTTTTCACCCAATAATGAATTCGAAATTTTTTCTCTCTCTCTCTTCCCCATATGATAATAATTCTGACAATAATAATAATCGACCTTTAAATTAGCATAAAACTGACAAGTTACAGGTTGTTGTTGTTGGTGAATTAACTTAATTTGATGAGTTAATTAGTGTTGATTAAGTTTCTCTCTAGTTTCAGTTTCAGTTTTTTTTTACAGTTAAATCATCACATGAATCCAATGAAATTGTGATGATTGTTAATTGTTGAATATTGATTGAAACTGATGAGATATGAGAGAGAGAGAGGATTTCAATTGTTATCTAAATAATGTTTATCCTCTTGAGAGATGATGATGGGTGATGATGATAAACAGATGAAGCATTAAGATGAGTGAGAATTTTTTTCCATGATTTTTAAATTTGATATTATTTCCAATGGAAACAATTGCGCCATAATCTATTTACAGTTTGGTTTTCTTTTTCAACCCACCATGAAAAGTTGATGGTGGATGAAGATGTTGAATTGTAACTAGAATCCACTCCATTCACCATGAATGATAATAAAGAAAAGTATGTTTAGTTTATATCTTTGTTAATATTGTGATAGCTTAAAGGTGAATATTTTTTTTCCTTCTCCTTCTCCTTCATGATGATGATGATGATTTTTTCTTCTTCTTCTTCCATAGGAAAAAAGAAATACATGATTTGCTTGATGAAAATACCAGAGAGATGCTTGAATGGAGAGACTGATGATTTCGATGATACTTTGGATCCTTTGATACGAATATATTGTGTATATATAATAATAATAGTTCTGATGATGATAATGGTTCATTTTCCAGGTTACAACAGTGAAAAGAGTTCGAGTTTATATTCTGAACACATTCGAGAATTTTTTTTCACTTTTTCTCTTCTTTTCGATATTCAGTTTACAGAATAAGTTTTCTCTCTCTCTCTCACTGATTCTCACTCGATTTTCCATCACTTTACCACTTCCCCTCCCTTTCTCCACCCACAACCTCCTACTTTTGGAGTTTTTTTATTTATTTATTATCAAATTTCATTACATTTGATTGTATTATAATGTGAAGTTTGAACGACTATCAAATTGTTCAATTGGCATTTTCAGCCTTTTTCATGGTGATAACATTTGATGCATAACAGTTGAGAGGTGGTGATGGTGTTGATGTACATCATGTGTGTATGTGTATAAGGAAAATGTTATCACAATAATAATATTTGCTGGTTGATTCAATTAAATGGTTGAAATGATTAATCTTTGAATATTGATGATGGTCAAAATGTTGACTATTTAAATGGAGATGATAATGATAATGATGATTATGATGATGATACCGATAAATTGTAAATTAGTTGAAAAGAAAGAGGAAAAGAAAGAGATAATTTTGCCCCTCTATTCCTTTCGTGTAGTGTTAACATTATGATGATAATAATATTAATAATACTGATGAGATCGCGTGTTGATGTACTTTAAATGCATTGATAATGATGATGAAGATGAGTGGATACTACAAACACAATAAAAATTGGGTAAATTACGACAATTAACTGTATCCATTCATTTGTATCTTATTATTAACATCATATCCATTTAAAAGGAGATCTTCCCTCTCTCTCTCTCTCTCGCTCTCTCATTCAGATGAATAGCCTCTTGACAAACAAGATGATTCAAAGAGATGATGATGATGAGACACTTGGAACTTTTTTTCTCTATCATCATCCTCACCCCATCCTCTTTATCATCTTGTCTTTTTGCTCTTTACATCATGTTTCTCCATCCTTTAGTAGTATTGTTATCCAATTGATCATCTTCTTGTCTTTTTCCAATGGGTGGCAATGGGGTGGGCCGGTTATCCACTTAACATTGTTTGGTCTGTGTTTCCAACAATAATTTCATATTGAAATATAAATATCATTGTCATGATTATTAAATTGTTGTAAATGTTTTTTTCATCATATTGTCAATTTATATATTATATCATATTTATATAACTTTAACAGCTTAATGATAAGCTATTTATATGTTAAGGTGACTTTGTATACCAGCGTATATGAATCATTTACACACAATGCTAATTGTTGTAAGTACTTTTTGATAAGTTACTGATTCAATTAACATAATTGTCGCTGTTGATGTGTATAAAAAAATATATCTGCTTGTGATTATTGAACCAATTTTATTGATGAGTGATGAATAATTTGACTCCTCATTGAGTGAGAGAGAGAGAGAGAGAGAGATGAAGTTATCCATTGTTATTGGTGTTTTCCACTTTTCCGCTTCCTCTTCCTCGGTGGGGTTGATTTTTCTAGCACATAATTTTCACTTTTTATCACCTTAATAGTTGATGATATCATTGGAGTCTTGATTGTCTATAGGGTTTTAATAGAGTGAGAGAGGGAGAGATGATTATTATCATTGTTATTTTCCATTTCCATTATGATTACCATTATATTGGCTGAGGAAAATATATTATATCGAATTTGAGTCCGTTATTCTTTTATATTTTGCTCTTTGATTTTTTTTTCTCCTTCTCTTCCATTATCATCTTTCAACATGAATCCCTATTTTTTGCCATGAATTTGCCTTGCCAAGAGTTTTTATCGGTTTATGGGTCGTTAGAGTTTGAGATTCATTGCATTTTTATTGGACTTTGTTGTTTTCCTTAGATAAACTTTGGCTGGTAAAGGTGAACGAGGCCAATACTTGTTATGTAACATGCAAGGGTGGTGATGATAAGATAGGGAGAGAAAGAGAGAGTGAGACCATGGGAGCAGGTAAGATGTAGAGAGAGAGAGAGAGAGAAATAAATAAGTGAGAATATGATGTTTTTGAAAAAGATTGATAAAAGAATAGAAATTTATAGGATAGAAGGAAAAATATTCTGAAATTCCTGAAGAATGACAGCAATAGAAAGAGAGAGAGAGAGATGATTATGAGATGGAAGATGGAAAAAAAGAAAGGAAGTAATATGAGTGAGCGGGAAGTTAGAGTTACCTCTTGGGAGATGTTGGTATAACGTTGAATGGCGATGTGTTTATTGTCTTCCAATCAAAAAGAGGAATCAAAGAGTCGTGAAAATAACCTATTCTTTTCCTTGTGAATTGTATTTATTTTTGTTCATTCTTCATCATCATTATCATCATCATCATCTTTTCCTTTCTTTTCACCAAAAAAAAAGAGAGAATCTCCTTTCCATTCCATTTCAATGAGTGTAAATAAATTCGTTGTGCATCATGATTTCCAACCATTAAATATATTAAATCATCGGGAATCACCTATAAGATGAATCAAGAATAAGTCGACAACAGAAAAGATTAAAATTAGTAAACAATCAAATCAGTTGATCAATTTTTTCACTTTGAAATTACTCGTGAAAATAAAGGTTAACATGAAGGTGGATAATTTTACCTGGTGGAAAGTTGGATTAATATCATTGAACATTCAATGTTTTTGCTTTTTTCATTATCGTTTCTGATGATTGAAGAGACTGATTATTTTTTTTTTCTCTCACTAATTGTTATCCAAATGATTGGTAATGATTATATGTCTCTCACTTTCTCCATCTCTCTTGTGTCTCGAGAGGTTTTGATTATCATTATAATTGTTAGTTAAATGAGATTAGTTTGAATGGAATTAGTTTTAAATGAGAATTGATTTTTTTTTCTTCATCCTCATCTCTTTTTCAATTCGGGTGAGGCTTCAAATTGAATATTGAATAAAATTATATATGAGTTAATGTTTAATTGCAATGATACGATTTAATTGTTTTTTTTATATGTTTAAACTATCCTTCAATTGATGATCAATTTCAATTCAATTATGTGAGGCCAAGAATAACGGTAATTGACAGAGAGAAGAGGAAGAAAAAAAAAGTGAGCTGATTCTCTATGTTGATTAACTATGATAATGTTTTCAGTTGAATTTTTTATTTCAACTCCAAGTGATTTAATTATGATAGTTAATCAGTTTTTACCTTGTATTAGATTTTTAAAGTTTTGTCATTATTTATAATGTATTAGTTGTTCAATTAATTATGATGATGATTAAGATGATATCTAATACAAATTGTTGTTTGTTTGTTTACTTATGTTAGTTGATTAATATTGTATCGATATCAATGTTACTTTGATGGACAACACGAGTAACATTCAAGTTGGAGTAATAAATTTTACAGTGAATGAGATGAAGGTGAATGAAGGTGGGAGAGAGAGAGAGAGGGAGATGAGGTAAACATGAAGGAGAGAGAGAGAGATGTTGATGATGATGGAGACAAATATTGATGGTTTTCTCCTTCAAGATTATCTCATTCTCTCAATGTGTATCTCCTAATGATGTAAATGTTATATATCTTTGTGAATATTTAGATGTGACACAAATCTGTTTAAGATTCATTGTCGTTTTTAAGTTATACTATTTACTATTAATCATTGAGAGACTTTTTTTTCTGTTTATTCATCTATTTGTAAGGGTTTTCTTTCACCTTGTATATTCAATCAAATGTATAACAATTGCATCTTAGTTGAATAAATAGCCTGAGGGTTTGTAATGAGATAAATGCATTTGTTTAATTTCAAATGCAATTTGATTGTTGAATCTTTTTGTTTTTGTTGCTTTTGTTTTTTTTGTTAGTGTTTAATTTTACTCGGTTTTCTAGTTGATTAAGTTTAAGTGGAGTTTGTTTTTCACTTTGCAAGGATTTTCAGGGTTAATTGAAAAGTTGTTACTATTTATCTGTTTTAATATACAAATAAAGGATTAGTTATGCTGCTTGGTGATAATCTTGAATTTTGAGTTGATTTACCTTGTGTATGTGTGTGTTGTTACATGATGAAGGTATTACCATGAATTTGAATGAATTACGTGAATGGATGAAAATTGGATCATGTGTGTAACTGTTGAAATGATTACTTTTTGTCTCTCATATGGTAATTATTAGGATGAGGATGACATATTTTTCCTAGGAAACCATAAGTTGTCATCTTTTATGATGATTTTCCTCCTTCCTTTTTGATTTTATCAGCATCATCTGAAGAGAGAAAAGAGAGAGAGAGAAAAGTGATAATGAAAATATAGTGATGATGATGAAGATATAATTTTTTTTCTCTTCTTTCACCAAATGATGTAAACTAATGATTAGAGTAGGAAATCTGAATGAACATACGAGTTAGATAATATTCAGCGAAAGATTGAACTGATAAGATTTGACACACAGTCCATAAGATTGACACTCTTCTTATGAGGCTTAGATGGGGTGTATGATTTTTAAATGTAAGCAAAAGACAGAGGAAGAGAGAGAGAGAGATGAGAGTTACTAGGGAGGTGTATTCAAGGTAACGGAAAATTAGAGTGAAAGAGAAAGTGAGAAAGAAAGAAGATCTAAGTCTCTCTTTATTTCTCTTTCTTTCATCAATTGAGTTGTGAAATTGGAAGACATTTTGGGCACTTTACTGGTTCCTCTGTCCCCACATAATCCTCCTTCTTTATTTGCTTCTAATCCTCTTTAATCAGCGTCCACAATCTCATTTCTGGCAATTTATGCTGAAAACACATTGATCCATAAACAATCTGATGAAAGAATAAACTATTTCCATCAAATGGTTTTCTCTCGATTTCTTTTTTTTTAATACTTGTTGATGTTGTTGTTGCTCTTTCTATGTTTCCTTTTCCTCTTTCCTTGGTCTCTCCACCATTTTGTCTCCATTTAAACTTCCATAAGTTTCACTTTCTTTAAGATACATGGAAGATGAAGGAATTTACATGTAATATGTATTCAGAATTATCCAGGGTATTAGAGGAAAAGCCACAGAAAGAAAGTAGTTCCATAGGTAATGTAGGCCTTGAGAAATCCCATGTCATGTGTATAAATGTTTTAAGTGTCTCTCTCTTTTTGTGCTTCATTATCTTCCTTCATCTTCTCTGTGTATACATCTATCTGTTTATGAAGCGTGTTGGTGTATTGAAGGTTGTTGATTTACTTTTTTACACTTGATGAAGCTTCTCATCCTCCTGTTGATTGTTATTAATGCAACATACACACACACTCTCTCTCTCTCTCTCTCTCTCTCTTTCTCGTACACATGAAATGGTATTTTAATCTTTGTCAATGTATTGCTATTGGAATCTTTTTGGAAGAATCTTTTTTTTCTCCTTCTCTTATATTCATCCCGTTATCTAGAAAGATTTTGTATCTATCGGTATATCGTTGGTTATCTTCATCTCACTGGCCTTCATTTTGACAGTTGCCTTTTTGTGGGTGAGGTGGGTCATGTACTGATGGGTGATCTTTTTGTTTCCACTTGAATGTGTTCCAATTTTCAGTGGTGGTGGTGATGGTGATTGTTGATTGACTTTAATGGAACAAAATTTTTGTATCTGTGTATATGAAAAGAGAGAAAAGAAATTACAAGCTTTTAGGGTTTGCATGATGGCGTTTATATATAATCACTTGTTGTTATGTGGAGACAAAAGGCTAGAATATGAAAAAGAAAATGGAGAGAAGGGTAAATGGAAATGATGATGATGATGATAAGAGATTAACAAGATGAGGCGAAAAGTAGGTGGAAGATAAAAGAAATAGAGAGAAAGAAATGATTCTGATTATAAAGCTACTTAACTTTGGCATATTGATTGAGCTTATCAGGTTTATCAGCTTCTTTTGATGATCCTTTTCAGAGTTTTACTCTCTCATTCCTATGATTTAATAATTCATCAGCAAATTTAGTAAGATTGAGATGGATAAATGATGAAAGGCCTGATGATGAGAAGAAGAAAATAAAAACCAAGGTCTAAATGAAGATCTTTTTTTGTTTGTAAAGATACAAAGGTGATGAAAACTGATGAAGTTGAAGGATATTTAAGATGTAAAGATAATGTCAAATGAAGGAAATGTAATAAAAAAAAGAGAGAAAGAAATAAAAATGATGACAATTAAACTGATCTTCTTTGTTTAGAATGATTAAAATGATGAACATATGATGAGCTGATTTTGGAGAATTTTTTTTCCTCAGCTTAATCAATGGAAGAGCATAAAAAGCATAATCATCGGCGAATTGAAGTAAACACAGAGAAAGAGAAAAATGATTTTCATTTTCATTTTGATTGTTACACTTTCGTTTTTCTACCTTGATGATTACACTTGATTATTTGTGATGATAATGTGATCTAATGATGACAGTGATGAGGAAGACAAGAGGAGAAAAAAATGTATCACCAAAGAAAAAGTAAGTTACTAGAAAATCTCATGAGGATGATTGCCCTTTTTGCTTTTCTCTTTCTTTTCTCTCTCATTTTTTTTTTGTTTTTTCTTCTTTTGACTATTGTGATGATCTTACCTTTGGTTTTCTCTCTCTCTCTCTCTCTCTCTCATTTATCCACTTCCGAAAATTTTATCCAATCAATAATTTTATCCCCTTAGGTTTATGTTTATCTCTCTTGTTGTTGTTTTTTTCTCGACGCCATTTTGGATATCAAAGTGTTTCTCTTTCTTTTCTTTGTGATTCTTTTTTTTCTCTTCTCTCTTGTGTCCTTTTTTATCTTCATCATCTTCATAATTATCATCATCATTATTTCTCTCTCTCTCTCTCTGTGTATATATTTCATCTTGAGTGTTTCTCTCTCATCACCGTTTCAGCCAATCAGGTGAATCTTCTGATAGAAAAGAACATTTTTTATTCTCTTTCTCCATTTTTTTCTCTTTTCTCTTTTCTCTTTCTTAACAAATTAATATTCTCAATCTCTCTTGAGATGATTGTTTCTCATAATTTATATGTACATGTATTGGCACAAGATGAGAGATGAGATACAAATGTACAGTTAACTCTTTTGTGCCTTTAATCCCAAGTGAATTAATGAGAATGTATTGTGTTTAACCCTTAAATTGTTACTGATTACAAATCTTCATTTTTACTTGCCCATTTTCTTTGTGTATTACATTTGATTACATTTTATTTGATTAACCAGTTTTTCCTCTTGTTTTTCTTACAATTTGGTTTGATTGGTAATAATCTATTTCTTATTACTCTTTGTGATTTGTGCCTTTTTCTCATAATTTCATCATCATCACCATGAACCATTGGTTATTTCAACTTTTCTCTCTCTCTCTCTCTCTCCTCGTCCAGTCATCACATCATGTCAATGTTTACATCATCTTTTATGTGTTGATGTTTGAATCATTTTCTATCTCTTTTATTCAACATGAACTCTACTTTTCTCATCATAAATATTCATCTCTCACTGAATTTTTCCTTACATATCTATAACTCCATTGAAATTGAGATGGATAGAGTAGGAAAAGTTAAAGAAAAACTTGATCGAGATGATATTTTTTCATGAGATTTATGGTTTACATAAACTCCTATGGTGGTGAATGATTCATCTTTTCTCAACAATTGGAAAAGCATGTGTATCGTTATCAGTGTATTCACCTTGACACTATATCATCTTTTTTCTTTATGTGTTAATATGCTTTTCATTTTTGTTTCTTTTCTCCTCCTTTTATCCTCCTCCTTCTTCATCTTCTTTACCCTCCTTCTCTCTCTCTGTCTAACATGAGAGATTCCGAAAGGAGAGAAGAGAAAGAGAAAAAGAAAGAGAGATATTCCTAGTGAATATCCTGATACCATGAAAGTCTCTATTCTAAGTGTGAACATTTTTCTGCAAACTCGAAACTTTTACTTAATGGTAGATATAAATATCTACTGGTGCCTCTCGTTTCTCGTTTTTTTGTTGCTTCTCCTTGATGATACTATCGATCAAAGAAAAGAAAGAAAATATTACAAAAGAATCTCTCTTAAATTGAGATAAGTAGTCATTTTCATGGTGACAACGAAATGATATTAATGAGTTTTCCTGAACAAATTTGTTTGACCTGTACAATGATACGAAAATCATTTTATCATTTCCCTAACCAACCTCACAATGTAACAGGTTAAACTAACACAATCAGTTATTAACATATAGTAAATTATGGTTGACATAATAACAAATATCCATATAATTTATATGTATGTTTGTTGTTGTTTTTGCTGTAGTAACACTTAATCACTTGGTGTGTTTACACAGAAACAATTTGATCCACTTGGATTGATTCTTGGTGGTGGCAGTGGTGATTTTGATGGTGCTACTCATGTTAATTGACACAGAAAAATGGTGATTATATGTCCACACAAAATTACATATGTTACCATGTCAAGAAGTGAATGTAAACTTTTTTAGGTTAACACCCTTGGATTAATCTCTAATATCGCCTGAATAATCAGTGAGTGAGGGTAAAGCTGAAAAAGAACAGAAAAAGAGGGAGAATCAAATATATTAGAATTAATTTATTATTCATGATTATCTCTCTCTCTCTCTCTCTCTCTCTCTCTCTCTCTCTCTCTCTCTCTCTCTCTGTCTCATTCGCTCCATGGTTAATCCTTTTCGCTTACCTTGTGTTTAATAATCATAACAGTAAATGATGATAATAGTGACATGGAAACAAATTGTTGAGCCGTATAATCAGTTTAACAGGGTAGACACATGGTAACATCATGATTGTAAAAGATTCTAAATTGTTACAATAATAACTGTATCCATTTTATGTTATATATTCAAATGAAACATTATCTTCTCCTTGTTTTCCTCTTCATCTTTTATCATCCAAGTTGTTTTTTTCTCTCTCTCTCTTTCTCCTCAATCTATTTAAACCCTCCATTGGATTAATGTTGCTGTTGATGTTATAATCTAGATGGTAGATGAATATTCAAGGAGAGAGAGAGAGAAATATAAAGAAATTAATGATTAGTATTGTGAGTTTACATGTATATGAATATTTAACTAACTATTATTACGGAAATTAACTGGAGCATTTTGTTTTGTTTTATTTTGAATATGCAACAGTATTGGAATTAATTTCAATAGTAACATTAGTTTAGTTAAATTGTTTATATCTTGTTATAAGTTTGGACTTTCCTTGCATTTAAATTGTTGGAAATTTTTTCAATTATTTACCTGTTTGGATTATCCAGATAGCCATGAATTTGGAAATGTGATTATATTGATGATGTTGAAGAAAATTGTATTATTTGTTTTCAATTATTGAGATTGATTCCATGATGATAATATTGATTTGTGATTATATTCTAGATGATAGAAAGAGAGAGAAAGATATTATTATTAATATTATGAATATTTGGATAGAAATAAACAATTTATTTATCATATTATTAACTATTGTTAGTATATATTACCTGTGATTGTTTGTTTACTGATTGGTAACTATTAATATTAACGGTGTTTACTGGGTCCAGAATATTTGGTAAACATTGAAATGGTTTCATTGTTATTATTAGTTTCATGATGAAACTGATGATTATTATGGTTATTGGGATAAGTTTTATTATTATCATGATGATAATCATCAGAATCAGTTTTCTATTTATCTTTGGAAATAATTTGTCTACAGGTAGACAAAATTATTCTTCATTTTTAAAGGTAAAGAAAAAAAAAATCTTTTCATAGAACTGATTTAATTCAACTATACACTCACATTTCCATGATCAGTGATGATTACGAGAATGATGATGATGATGATAATCTTTGTATCCGAGGAAAAGTAAACATCATCAATATCTACTGTAGATGAAGATGATGATGATAAAAGGAGGATGATGATGATGACTACACCAAGTAAACATTTACATTGAGGTTCATCTTTTTGTGATGTGAGGTTTATGTTTATCTTATATATTTTTTTTTACTATTTCCTATTCATATCTGATATTACATGAATTACATGGGAAAAAGTGTATAAATACAAAGATAGATGATTATTATTGATATTGTTATTATCTTTCAAGTTTTGTTTATGTTGAAAATAACGGAAACTGAATTAGTGAAGGTAATTCAGTAAATAGATTTATATTGTCTTGATGAACAAACTTTTCGGTACAATATTTGCATTGAGATGATAATAATAGTAATCAAGAGTAATTTGAAATGATAATAATATAATAGTAGCATTAAATTGTTACTATTATGGTTATTATTAGTTATTATTATCATTATAAAGGGTTAAAAACAAAAGGTAGATATTAACAGGGAGAAGGTAAAAAAAAAAGATTAGTGGATATAAAGAAAGGGTTACATTGGGTGGAAGAGGATGAGAAGAGGTTGTTGTTGGGTTGATGGTGGGCTGGGAGTTATTACCACCATGAAGAAAAGGATGTTACCTGTAGTGGAAAAGTACAGGAGGAAAAAGAGTAAAGAATCAAATTACTTTGAGCATAAAAGTAAATTAACTTGGAGACAAACAATTAGGTAAATTTTGTCTCTTCCATTGATTTTGTATAGTAGTTACATTGGTGTTTACCTTTGGTGTTTAATTTTAAACATGATGAGAAACGTTTAATTGTTTGTTGTCATTTAATTGATAACATTTGATGAAGAATAGCAAATGGACAAATGATTTGAACGAATTTTAGTTAATTAATTGTTCGTTTCGTTGGGATTTTGCTTTTCGTTTTGTCTCAAATTTTTTGTGGTGTTTTTTTTGTGATTTGTTGCTCTCTAATTGTAATCAAGCTAATTGTTAATTGGAACTTTTTTTTCATCTTTTTCTCTCTCCATCTCTCTGTAGGTTTTGATATCGACCAATGTTAGTGTGGAGAGTCCACTTCTTTCCGTTTCGGACAATATGTTTGTCCACAACAATTCAAAACATGGACGTCGAGCCAAACGTTTAGATCCTGCTGAAGGTAAGTTAATTGTTTCGAGTTAAATTGTTATCACTTGGACATTTGTATTGATTAGTTAATTTTACAGTTTTTTCTTCTTCTTCTTTGTGATTCTATTTACTTGTGACTTGATGGTGATCAAGGTAATTTAATTGTAATCATTGTGTGTTGAGAGACCGTTGGAACAATTATCTCTTTTCCTTTCTCTTATTATTTGAACATTTTATTATGTGTTAATAACGGAAGGAAAGATTAACTGTTTTCTATCATCATGGTTATTACATTTACTTTCACTTCCTCCTCTTGATCACCTTGACTTAGAGTTGTATATAGACACTTACACACTTCTCCCTGCCCTTTGACCTTTGTAAATACCTGAGTTAATAAACTAACAATAGATACAAAGTGTAATAATTTTGTCAGTGAACCAGGAAAAGTGAAATTTGTATCAATCAGTGTAATTATTTGGGAGTGTGGGGTTAACAGTGGAGAGTGGGTGATGGTAGTGGTGAAAAGGAAAACATTTCCGTTAACATTTCCTTGGGTCATTTCCGTTGACAATTTGACTCAATGTCCAGAAAAAGAGATGAAGAAATCAAAAAGAGAGTAAAAAAATAGACTTGACCTCCTATGGATAAATATCACACTGACCATATTAAAAGTATGCTTTGTATTTATCTTGATCCATAGTTAATCATCATCTCTCCCTGAGTATGTGTGTTTGAATACCACCAACATTGACTCAGTGTATCTCTGTCCGTATCTCTCTCTCTCTCTCTCTCTCTCTCTCTCTCTCTCTCTCTCTCTCACGCCTTTGCATTAATAACAGTAGCCAGGAGTGAGGGTGTAGTAAAACCCTACCCAACATGAGTTACCAATTTGGGTCAATGATTGTCCAATTATTTGGTTGCTAATATTGTGATAATATCATTAGGTTTCCTTTTCCTTTCTCCTTCCCTTTAGAGTGAAGATGATGATGAAATTTTTTTTCTTGTTTGTTCTATTCTCTTTCCAAGAAATCTATTATTTTTTGCTTCTTCTTCCGTCTCCCTGTTTCTAGTTATCTTATCATCTTCATATTTTCAGCTCCCTCATCTTCTGTCAATGAAAACTGATAGCAAAATGATGGTGATCATTTTGATTGCTCTGATGTCTCTTTCAATCTATTGGATTAACAACAAATAATGATTATTATGATGATAAAAGAAAATTTTTTCTTCTTCCATAGGCTTATCTTCCTCCTTCTATTTCATCTTGCCACCTCTCTCTCTCTCTCTCTCTCTCTCTCTCTCTCTCTCTCTCTGCATGATGATCATCCTCCTCCTTTTTGGTTTGATTTATTCACTTATCTTCATCATCTTCCGTCCATCTTGAGCTGATCAAAATGTATTAACACTTGATAATCATGTTGATAATCCCGTACAAGTTATTAAATTATATTATTATCATTGAATAATTATCAATGAAAATTTGATGATGATAAAGATGACAAAATAGTTGATTATCTTTATAATCATCATTGTTGATTATTCATCATCATCATCAAATTACCCATTGTTTAATTTGATTCATAATTTTTTAGTTTTTGTCATCGTGATGATGATGATTATCAAATCTTATTGCTTATTCTCAGTGTTGTTGATTTACATTCAATTATTATTATAGTGATTTAAATTGATTTGCATCAAATTGCCATCAAAATGAATCAGTCATGTTGATAATAAATTGTTTCCCTTTTCCAAATAAAGTAATGATAATATTGGAAAATAACAATAAAAAAAGTTATATTGTTACAATTGATTGTTGTGATTGTTATATTACCCTGACGATTTTAATACATGATGATGATTTTTGTTGATCCCAAATCTATTGGGTTGTGATTAAATATTATCATGATTATTATTATTGTTTTTCTTGTATTACTTTATGAAAACTGACCAAATGTCCAATGGGATATAACATGACTGGAAAAGGTCAATAGTAACAAGGCAATACAAGTGCTTTTACACTGAGGACTTGACCAGTGGGGGTGATAATAAGTGTATCTGTATGAGTGTAGTTGTGTTTGTCTATGTGTATCTTATTTTTGTCATGTCAAATGATGATGAAGATGAAGATGATGGTGAAAATGATTATGATTATCAAGATAGAGGAGGATGAAGATGAAGGAGGAAACTGTCAGTTAATATTTGAAACATGAAACCGAAAACATCTTAACCGATAACAAGACTCTCGATGATTACAGTTAATAGTAATTTCTGAACTTATCCCACCCTCCACCATGTAGATATAAATAACATGCCTCCCAAGTTGTGTATCTTTACACCTTCTCCCACTCCCACTTCTTATCATCATCATCATCATCATCATCCCACCTTCCGCATCCTTAAGATGATGATGATGATAATGATAAGTATCATTTTGCTTTCATCTTTTCACACTTACAATTAAATATTATCTTCTTTTGATTAACTTGATTATAAGTTATCCTTAAGAATTTTGTTGAGAAAATACAAAATGAAATCAATTGATGAGCCAAATTGTTGTCACTTAATTGTCTAGATAATGATGATTAGTTAACTAATATTTGTATTAGTAAGATTATCTCATTGGTATATATATTTTTAGTGGTTTAAATTGGCTCAAAAAAAAGCCAACGAGAGGAAACATTTTTCAACAATCAACTAATTGTTTGCATAAATCAATCATCCCCATAAATTAACTTTGTTTTTAATTGTCACACAATTTTCAAACTTAGTTTATATATTTACTATTAATTGTAGTTCATTATCGTTTAGGTGTTTAAATTGTTTCATTGTGGTTTAGTTTTGTTTGTCTATTTTATTGGTGAACTTTTTTTTTGTCAATCAACTGATCAAATTGTGATTTTGATTGTTGTTGTTTTCTTGCTTCATTGAAGTAAATTGCAATTACATTAACTAACTAGTTAACTGTCAATCCTGTTCATTGATTGTAACTGTTTCAATTTAATACATTAAATTGATTGTTAAATCACATCACTTGATTTGACTAAACCTTAATAGTTGATTGTTATCATCATTAATATTATCATGATCCATTAATATAATGAGAAACGTTGTTAATAATAATGATTTAATATCAACAATAATGTCAATTGTTGATGATATGAAATATTTTCAATTAAGTCTTCTAATGATTAACAATGATTAATATAATCCTTAAGATTAATCCTATGGATTAGTTTACAATTAGGTAAATTGTTGCTGTTCTGATTGGTTGATATATTTATTTTTTGCTTTTGCTGATGTGATAATTATTTTTGATTTGATTTGATTTGTATATAATTTTTTTTTTCTGGTTTATTATGTTTGATTTTACTTTGATTATCTGATTGTTATAATCTGTTGACCTGTGTTAATTGTTTACAATTAGTTGGTGAGTTATATTTTTAGGTGATGATAATGATGATCGGATTAAATCAACTGTCTAATTGTGTAAATATTTGTCCTACGATTGGTGATGATTATGATAATTATGATTTGGAATGATGATTGATAATGATTAGTTGATGATAAATTGTTACCAATGTTATTATTTTGATGAACATTTTGACAGAAAACCTTTTCCAAGTACAAGTGAGACTGTGTATGTATTGATGATAAAAGAGATGAAGATGGAGATGAAAATAACCAAGAAGAAGAAGAAGAAGATGATGATGATAAATTATAAGATGATAAAAGTGACTTTAAAATATTGGATAATTGTCGCAATTGATAAAAGTATCGAGTAGGAAATGATTAGTGCTTCTGGTTTTCTATGGGATATACTTGAGGGTGGAAAGTGGCAAGATGAAGGATATTGAGGGTGGATGAAGGTTGATAACATTGAGAGAGAGAGAGAGAGGATGGAGTAGTTGATGATGATGATGATCAAATATCTTGCTTGGCATATGGACATGGAAAAGCTTTGATATCATCAATCATATTGGTAGATTGGGTCACAAGCAGCAATAGAAGAAAAAAAAACTCTATTTGTCTAATATACTTTGTCCAACTAATTGAGATGAATTTGTTCATTGATGGTTTATCTGCCATCTTTGTTGATGATGAATTTTTTTTATTTCTTTTCTTCATCTTTCTTGATGGTCAGTTCCATTTTCAGCAACTCCATCTATCAAATCAATATTTCCCAGTGAGGGCTGGACAAACGGAGGAAGTCAAGTTGTCATAATTGGTGATAATTTTTTTGAAGGTTTACAAGCGGTTTTTGGGACAACATTGGTATGGACAGAGGTCAGTTGGTCAATTATATTTATATATATATATCCCTCTCTTGGTATTTTAATACTCCATTGTTGTGGTTAATTGTTTTGGCGTTAATCTTATCATGAATATCCCCTCAACATTTGATTGCTGATTTTCATATGTTTTGCTTTACCTGGTATTTTCTATATTGGTCAAAATTAACTAATTGTTTTCTCTCCATCTCTTTGTTTACAGTTAATCACATCTCATGCAATTAGAGTGCAAGTCCCTCCAAGACACATTCCCGGAGTTGTTGAGGTAACATTATCATACAAATCCAAGCAATTTTGTAAAGGAGCTCCTGGTAAATTTACATACATATGTAAGTAATTTTGGGTTTTGATTGTAATGATTATCATTGATTATCATTATTAACCATTATTGTCAAGTGTCTTAATTGTTGTTTATTAGTATTCCTCGATTTCTGTATTATTATTCATTGAAAATCATGGAGAGCGAGTCATGATTATCATGTTTACTTTTTATTTCCTTAGTATTGCCTTTTTTATTGGAAATTGAGCCTTTTATTATCCATTGAAATTGAATGGGTTATAAATGTTGATTGTGTTTCATTGGCCATTGATTGTTTTGATTGTTATAATTGATGATGATTATTATTATTGTTATTATTATACAATATCGTTAATGTTTATTGTATCGTAATCAGAGGTTTTCATTTGATTATTCAATGGATTTTTGTTTGGATTCTGGTTTGGTTACTGGGAGGGAGAATTAAATTTTCTGCTGGATTTAACTTTTGATACTCTTGTTTATTATATGTGTTGTTGGTGATAATGATTCTGATGATTAGATGGATGTTGATTATATGGTGATGATGATGAGGATGATTGATGAATAATTTAATAGGTTGAATAGATTCAGTTACTTGGGGTTTTTACTTGTGACTTTTTCATTGTCTCTCTTTTTGAATGTCATCATCATCATTGTGTTGGAAGTTACTTAATTTACTTAAGCTAATTATTTACTATTAAGATGAAGTTGATGAGAGAGAGAGAGGATGAAGATGGAGATGATGAGGATGAGAAATAGGTTGAGTGTTAGGTTGAATAGGTGATCATGTAAAAATAATGAGATGATAATATAACATGTAAGAGCGGGTTGATTCAATGTCGATCCCAATCTAAGCAAAGTTTTACATGTTGAAAGATAATTATTCAGCAATTAAGGTAAATAAACTAATATAATCAAGATTGAATAGATATTATTTGTTGTGTGTCTCACTTTAATTATCTTAACAATCAACTAATCAAGAGAAAAAGCTAATTCAAAGTTCATTAAAGTTTTACACTAACAATCAACTTAAATACTGTATATAAAATGTGTTGTAGGTATTGATTGTGTTTATATGTTTCTGTTGATTATTGTTAACAATTTATTTGTGATAAATTGTTGATAACTTGATTGTTGATTATTTTGAATATTTGGGGAAAAAACAAAACAAAACAAAGTAACGGTAATTTTATTCAAATGATTTTCCGTACATATCATTGTGAATATTATGATTGTTATTTACAGGATTTTATTGGAAATCAGCAGGAAAACATTGGAACCGATTTAACTTGATGATAAACATGGCGAGTGGTTTATCTTTGCCCCACTCAGTGTTTTTATTTTCCACCTTGATCCTAACCCACCCTGTTACAATTTCCTCCTTCATCTTATTTTCATTGTTTCCTTGATTAGTATTGATAATATTACCATTGATTTTGTTGCTGTTACAATTTTTACTTTTCCATTGTTGATTTGATTGTTGATTGTGATCATTTCCATTTCAATTGTTTAGTATGTTTTTTCATTCTTGAGTTTCTCCTCTTATATCAAAGTTTATTTAATCTACAATTTCAATTGTAATTCAGTCAATCTTCATCATCTTTATCAATCAGATAAATTGTTCTCATTGATGATGAAATAAGAGAGAGAGAGAAAAATAGAATTGAAATTAGATGGAAAAACTTTAATTCCTTGTAATATCTTTTTCCATAGGATTGATGATTTAGTTTCTTTCCTTTGATTATATTTTCTATTTTTCATTTGATTCTCAACAATCAAGTAAATTTTTAGTTTACTAACTATTGATTGTTACTATTTCCTAAAACTCCCTAAGGGGTTAAAGGGATTACGATTTCTGGAAAATGTAACTCATGTTAATCTTACATTTGGAACTTTTTTTTTCTTAACTTTTGTTCCCCTTGTTGATATTTGATTGGGACAATAAGACGATAATTTATCATTGGTTAATAATGAGAATATATATCAATGATTTTTGGATGAATTTTGATTGTAATGATTAACTAATCATATTGTTAATATTTTTCTTTTTCTCCAGCTATTAATGAGCCAAATATAGACCAAGGATTTCAAAGATTAGCTAAATTGGTTCCAAGACATCCAGGGGATAACGAGAAATTATCAAAGGTAAATTGATTATTATCGACAATTTGTTAAACACAATTGTTTGATTGTATTCGTCTTAAATTGTTACGATATTTACATAGAAAATGGTTCATTGTTTGTATCTCTCTTCTCTCTCTCTCTCTCTGTTTAAGTTAATTTTCTAGTCAATTTGTATGTTGATTTGATTACAATTTACATAATCAGTTAATAGTTACTTTTATTGTTGTTGTTGAAACTTTTTTCTTTTCCTAGTTTAACTAAATTAAGTTTAAATTGTATTTATTTTACATAATAATTGTTACTCATTGTGTGTTTGTTTGGTTGTGTGTCTCTATCTCAATACAATTAAAATTAACTTTTGATTGTTGTTGGTGTTTGTTTTGTTTAATTAATTGCTAATTGTAATTAACTTTAATTTGTTTTTCATTTAGGAAATCATATTAAGAAGAGCAGCTGAATTAGCTGAAGCTATTTATAATATGCCTCGGAATACATCACAATTAACTGCACTTCCTGGTCCACGATCACCGGCTAGTGCGTTGAACAATGCAGCGGCTGCTGCTGCAATGTCGGCGGGTTTCAATATGGCCTATTCGGCAGTGGAATATAGTCGAGCACAGAACAATAGTGTTTCACCTAGTCGAGGATATGCTTCTAATGCATCAACCCCTCAATCCAATAGCGGTGGAAGCTCTTATGGTGGTGGTTCTCATGGAGGTGGTGGCGGTGGTGGTGCTACAAATGGTCCAGTTAATGGAAACTATGGAAGCCCTGGAACGGTGGTCAATGCAACTGTACCTGGACCAATATTTGGTTGGCCCGGATTTTGAGTTAATTAAACTTTTCTCATTCTTAATACATTATTGATATTGAAAAACAACAAATACTATTATCAACTTTGCCATCAACTAAATTAACACAATAAACTAAACCAAAACACATCTACATCCACATACAAACTCACAAAGACACAAAACAAAAGCATCATCATCATTATCATCATCTTCATCATCTACATAATCATCATCGTCAACCTTTATCTCTCTCAATGATCTTCATTATCTCTTTCTTATCATCTTTGTTTCCTCTTTCTTTCTGTTAAAAGAAAAACTTTTTCTCTTTGTATCTTCTCTTTCTTTTTCTTTGTCCAAAATCTTCCAAAAGATTGTAATGTATACATAATCCATTATCTCTCTCTCGCTCTCTCTTTCTCTTCCTTTCTCCCTCTCTGATTTTCATCCTATTTCCTCTTCCAAAAATTGGAAACTCTTTCTCTCTTTCGCTACCTCTTCTTCTTTCTTCTCCCACTCTTTCTCTTTCTCTCTCTCTCTCCTCCTCCATCTATTTTCCACTCTTTAAGTTAACCTCTTCTAACACAATTCTGCTCTCAAATCATTAAAACATTAAAACAAAAGAGGTTAATCCTCTTGAGATTAAACATAAAAGTCTTATTCACTTTCTATGGTTACTTTTTTTATTATTATTGTTTCTTTGATGATGATGATGATGATGATGATAAAAGATGCAGGATGAAGATGAGGATGAGGCAAAAAAACAGATGAAGTGTCAAAGTGTTGTCAAGTGAAACGGAAACTGAGGATAAAGTTTATTGTAAACAAATTAATTACCGAGATCCCTGGGAGGGTTTTTATCATGATATTACAGAGTTTAAGTCAATCAATGGAGTGTATTGAAGGTGGGAAACTTGAGAGTGGGTGGTAATGATTATTATCCTTTGTTATTTTCAAAACGATTCTCAATTTAATCCCTGTAACCGATTCATTGATTTCAATTTGATTGAATCAAATTGTCCTTAACATGGGACATTAAAAGTTAATTGTCACCATAATCACAGCGAATCAATTGATTTACTTTGATTCCTTTTTTTCATGTTTCCTATTCATGGCCAATGGTGGGTGAAAGTTGACAGTTTCATTTCTGGTTCCGGTTTTAATTGTTCTCAACTATTTTCTTTCAAGGTGTAATCATGAAAATTTAATCATTCCATCTATGGGAATATCTTTTTTCACCTTGTTCATGAACATTTATCATCAACACTGAATAGTTTTCAGGGTGAAAAGTTTCACTTACCTTTTGTTTATCATCATCATCATCATTTGTCTTGCTCTCTGGAGCTTTAATTAAACTCTGTATTGTCTTAATTAATGATGAACTTTTTTTTTCTTAATCATCAGATGAAGATAAAAGTTCATTTTCATTGAGAGTTTTTTTTTCCTCCTTCAGTTATCATTCAGAATAATTGTTTTCCATGTAATAAATTCATTATATTTATAGAGTTGAGAAAGGATCATGACGATGATTAAGATGAATTCATGAGAATCCTATTCATTTATCATGTTATCTGTAATTCATCAGCATATCAGAATAAGCGATGGAAAAAGAGAGAATTTTTTTATTCTTCCAACAAAAAAACAAATAAGATAAATGTTCTGTTGTTTTTTTCTCTTTCTAATGATTAAGGTTAAATTTTAAATTCCAATTCAGTTATCATGAGGCTAATCCTCTTCATTATCATGAAAATTTATCCTAAACTTTAAACTGTATCAAAGTAAAAGTATTGGATATCAATACTTTCACTCTGGTTCAGACTCCTGAGATTATCTTGACCACTTTCAACCTTTTACCCTGAGGGCAGATAATTTCCTGGGAATATAACAAAATGTGAACTGAATCATTCACAGTATTAACAATGGTTATTGTTATATTACCTTAACAATTGATCATTATCATGATATCAGTCAATCAAATGTTAATCATGTTAATCCTTTGAAAAGTTAACTCTACGGTTACTTTATTGTATATTCACAGACTAAATTGTCTTGATAATGATTAACTATTACAAACTACAAATCCGCTTAAATGTTACATCAATAGTCTCATTTTTTACTATCATCCTCATCTTCATCTTCATCTTCATCCTCATCATCTTACATACATATATTTATATCATCTTCCATTTATCATCTTGTTTTTTTTTCTTCCTCCAAAAACCCTTTGCAATATAATGAATTGCATCAACTTTAAACTCCTTCCTCCATCATCCCCACCCCACTCCCACCTTATTCATCATCCTTAACAGTTCATTTTGTCATCTTTATCATCCTCATCCTCTCTCTCATCATTATCATGAGTATCTACAACAATCACACTTAACTATGTTCAAAGATATCATATTGTAATATTAGATGATCAGAAAGTTCTGCACGAAAGTGAGTCTAAATTCAACATATTTAACTTGAACAATTATTGTCGAAATTAATTTTTTAAATATTTAAATTCAGTTAATTGATTGAAAATAATGATGTTGATCAAAAGTTTGAATATTTTATTCAGGCCAAAAATGACAAAATGACCGAAAAATTTTTTAATCCCTTCTGTTGATGAGGTCTAGTGGCCTTAGAATTTTTTCGAAATTTATCACTCTTATGATAAAATTAATATTTTACTATAATTGTTGAAAATTTTGAAATTAACTAATCACAATTAAGGAAAAAATTAAATTTGAAATTTCATCTTTTTTTGTGGAAAAATCAGAAATTTATGATCAAGAAAATTTTTATTATTGAGGAAATGGGACATTTTTGATTTCATGATGAATTTCTGATTTTTTAACAAAAAAAAGATGAAATTTCAAATTTAATTTTTTCCTTAATTGTGATTAGTTAATTTTCAAATTTTTCAATAATTATGGTAAAAATATTGAATTTTATCATGAGAATGATAAATTTTCGATAAAAAATTCTAAACTTTAGACCTCACCAATAGAAGCGATTAAAAATTTTTTTCGATCATTTTGTTGCGATTTTGCCTGAGTGACATTCTAAATTTTGATCAACATAATTTTCAATCGATAAACATTGAATTTTAATATTTAAAAAAAATTAATTCTTTCCTAATAATTGTTCGAGTTTAATTACATTTTGAATTTTAGACTCACTTTTCGTGCAGAACTTTCTGATCATCCTAATATATGTTTGATGTTATTAAGTAAAAAAAACAATTCCCTTAAAAAGTTTCTAATCTTAACTCCCACCGGTGGGTTTTTTTACTATATATAAAATACATTGACTAAGAGATGATAAAAATCAAGATGATGATGATGATGATTATGATGATGATGTATTTGTAACGGTAAAACCTTATTAGCTTTAATATTGTTTCATCTTCATCTCAATTACTTTAATATGTTTACCTACTCACATTTTGTATTCTGATCATCATATTGTTGATTTGATTGTAATTTAAAGTTTTTAAATGGTTCTAGTTAATTGTTTTACTTTTTTTTTGGTATTACTTCATCATTTAGCTAATTAACTAAATTGATTGACAAGTTTTACTATATTTATATATTTACACACTGATTGTTAAGATAATGATTTTCAAATGATAATGATAATCAATTGACAATCTTGTCAACTGTTAATCAATCAACACCATTTTCTTGTTAATTGTTGATTATTAATGATTTCAGGATTGATAGAGGAAGTTGTTGTTGTTAATTTATTAACGATGAATGATTGACAATCAAAAACTTTTTTTGTTTAATTGTTTAATGATGAAAAAGTTTCAAAATTAGCTAATTGAAATAGTGAAACAATTAACAGCTAATTCCCATTGAGAGTTAATTGAAATGAACTCTAATTTAATAAAAATAATCATAATTATCTTAATTATTTTGTTCACTACAATCGCTAATCAATTTTAATTGTCAAATAATTATCATCATCCTAATGATTTGACCTTAATCAACTAGAAAGTCAACAATTTACATGGTTTCATCATCAATTACAATTAATCACAATTAACGTTTTCTGTTTTCCAATCCTTTTGAAAAGTTTATCAATATAATTGAAATTAATTTAGTTTACTTTTTTTTCCTGTGACAATTTAAAATGGTAAAGTTAATGATGATTAAGTTAATTGTAAATTGAAATCTATTAACAATGATAATCAGAACAACAATTAAGGTAAATAAACAACAACAACAACAATTGATTTTTTGATTATCTTTTATATTTATTATTTACATTAAGATGATGATGATGATGATGATTACATATCAATAACAATCAAATGATGAAAATGATATTAGTTTATTTTTAATCATCAATGATTAAGACAAAAAGCCTTTTATTGTTTTAGTTAAACAATCAACAATTTATATTCACTGAATGATGATCATGAGATATAATCAGTTGATTGTAAGTATTACAATTCATTCATTGATGATTATCATGTTAAAAGGTTTTTTCCTTATCATCATTCAACTGCAATTAGATTGAACATTAACCAGCAATTAAATTTGTTCACTCAGATGATGTTCATGTTAATATATATTCAGTTTGTTTAATAATAATGATTATCATTGAATTGATTGTAATCATTAGTGAATGACAATGAATAAATATTATTCATCAAGATGAAAATTTTATCATCAAAATTATCAATTAAGATTCTCAATGAAAATATAAGATTTTCATTTGTTATATAAGTTACATGGAGTTGGAATATATCAAATGAAGGGAGAGTTTGAAACGGAAACGGAAATGATGCTGGAAAAACAATGGATAGAGATGGAAATGAAGATGAAGATAAGGAAGATGAGGATGAGGATGGAGATGGAGATGGAGAGAAAGTCAATGAATATGGTCCATTCAATTAAGAGATACGTTTTTCGTCTTCATTGTTTGGCTTGAGATTCCTCAGGGGATCTTATGGGTTGGAATGATTGTGAAGTGAGAAAGAGAAAATAAAAGAATTGGATGAAGAAGATGAAGATGAAGATGATGATAATGAAGAGAATGAGGAAGTCTAGAAGATGCTGGGAGTGTTACTGGGAGGGAAAACTGATAGAACTAATGGAGAAAAGAAAGAAAAGAACGAAAATGTAATGAGAAACGAAAGATTCTTTTTCTTATTTTTCTCTCTTCGAATGTTCCTTCAGTTTCTTTCTTGTGTACATTTGACTTTTACCTTTTTCCAAATCATCATTCATCTTATTTCCTGATTCATTAACATGATGATCTTGATGATAATCTATCATCATCCTGATAATCGATAGTTTGATTTACTTTGGAACTTTTCTTTTTCTTCTTTCACTTTTCTTGTTTCCCCTTCTTTTTCCCAGGTTACATATTATGCCTCAGGCTATTGGATAGTTTTTGATTGTTTAAAATGATTAAGGTAAATTAAGTTGATCAAATCAAAGGTAACAAATTGTTACAAATTGTTTAAAATAAAAAATGATTAAACAGCCTGAAAGAAAATGTTTATATTATTATTTTTGTTGTATTATATAATTTTAGTTTTTCGTTGTGAATAACAATCAAGTTAATTGTGATCATCAAATTGATGACCAATAACAATAAATGGGAAATCCTTTGGATTCAGATTTAATTGTGATGGTAGTTAATGAGTTTCTCAACTAATTACTGAACATTATATCTGGTCAATAGCAATTAAATATATTACAATGGACATGCAATAATAACAATAATAAAAACAAAGACATGGAATAGAAATGAAAATCAAAGAAACTGACCATTGGAAAAGTAAGAGAAAAATAGAAAGAGAGAGAGAGAGAGAGAGAGAGAGAGAGAGAGAGTGGTCAATGGGAGAGAGAAAGAAAAAATTGTGATCATAAAAAGAAAGAGTAAAAATAAGAAAGAGAAGAGGAAGAAAAGTGACCATTGGTCAGAATCTAATGCATCCCACCGGAAATATTAGTCTCCATCATGAGTAAACCAGAAGTAGTGGTCATTATCATTTCTCTCTCTCTCTTTCTATGATCATCCTATTCTTATCTTCATCATCTTCTCATCTTCATCTTGAACTTTTTGTTCGGGTGCCCTCTCCACCTTCAAAGGCCAAAAGTGTTATTTTTATAATACCCTCGGGTATCAATGGTGAATATACTGTTCAACAATGATAACGGTAAAAGGTAATAATAATGATAATAGTAATAATAATAATCATCATCAAAGGATGAGGATGCTGAAGATGAGGAAGCAAAAAAAAAGATGAAATAATTTGTTTTGATTGTCAATGAGACCAACGGGTATTGAAAGGTTAATCTTTATACTACTCTGATTATGATTACAATTAATAAGCAATATTAACTCGAGAAACAATTAGATATAACAATTAAATAGTTTTCTCACTCAATAATTACACAAAATAATTAATGAAATGACCATTGGTCAGCTGATAAAAAAAGAGATAAAATTTCATGATGATAACCCAAAGGTTTTCATTAAAAAATAATGTAAACCTTTCATATGATGACGATGATGATGATAATGATGATGATAAGTTGATAGGTATCTTGATAGTGATGATAATCAACAATTAATTTAAATGATTAAAGTTGATTATCGAAAATGTTAATCGATCCAATTGATTGATACTGATTTTTACATTTTTCCTTCAAATTAAACACAATGATTAAGATGATAAAAGGTATTAGATGATAACAATGATGAATAAAAGATGCACCTATAAGTATATTGTTTTTTATCATCCTCATCCTTTGGATGATAAGGAAGACAAGGATGAGAAGAAGAATGAAAAAAAAGTTCTTATAGTAAAAAGATGTTTAATTTTTTTACCCTGTATATTGTATCTCTCATATATATAAATGTAATGCTAAAACTGATCAACGTCAAGTCCATTATGAGAGAGAGTATGAAGATGATGATGATGATGAAAGTAAAAGTAACATTTCAAATGGATGATGGATGGACGATTTTATGATGATCATGATGATAATGATGAAAATGAGTATAGTTTGAGTTTCTCTGTTTTTACATAAAGCATTTTCTATCCAAATGCTAACCTATCTCTCCATCATCATCTTTATCCTCTTTTTCTGGAAAAACTTTTTCATCAAGTCATCGTCATAGTCATCATCATCTTCCTCATCATCATCATCATCATCTTCTTCTTCTTCTTTTTCATCTTCTTCTTTCTCTGCATCTTCGATCCGTAACGAGAAGTGCAATGTATTTCCCAAAAGACTCGGAAAGGGAAATGATAAATTGCTCTCTTCTTTTTCTTCTTCTTCTTATTTTCTCTGTCATCCTCATCATCATCATCATTTTCCTCTTCTTCATCACTTTTCTCAATCATTCTTGTTTGGACTTTCTCTCTCTCTCTCTCTCTTTCGCCATCATCTTTTTTTCTTCATCCTTTTCCTCACATTTACATTATATATACAATTTATACACTAACTTATGATTCTTGAACGTTTTCATCCTCATCCTCATCTTTTATCTTTGATATTTACTATTATATAGATTTCTATTTATCTCTCTCCCTTAGATGTAGTTTAACACTCATCATCATTATCATCATCTCCATCCTCATCTTTTTCATCATTTTCTTTTTTTCTTCTTCTTTCTTTTAACTTATTCCTCTCTAGTGAATATTAACATGATGATGAATTAATTTTAACCAATTCATTTGATAACAATCATTTTCCTTTAATACACAATAATATAATGATAATCCTTTCCACTCTCAATCAATTTAATCGATAATCATCTTGAATCATCTGAATGATCATCATGAAATTTGATGAATCAATTCACCAGAATTTCAAATAATAGATTTTTTTTCTCATTCTTATTAATATTATTAATACATTTTCATCTATCATAATATTTTTCTAGTTGGAAACAAAAAAAAAGACAAATGATTTACTCAGCAACAGAAATAAAAAGTTAATTATGTTTCCATGTTAATTTTGATCGAGTCAAATTTACCGTTAGACCTTTCGATTGATCTTAAGCAGTGAGAATAATCAATTATAATGAAAATTTATCATGAAGATGAATCAACAACAAGAAGATAACATGAAGAGAGAAACATTAAAGGTGATGGAGGAGAAAGAAAAAAACTTTATCGAATATTTTTCTCCTCGAATTTGAACTTTTTTCGATTGCAAAATTGATGATGGAGATGATGGAAGAGAACGAGAGAGAGAGAGAGAGAGAGAGAGAGAGGAGGAGAGTTTTATCCTCTATCATCTTCAGAATCAAAGTCATCAATGAAGTTTATTGCATATATTTTTCGGAATTGTTCAGCAAATGATACCTTCTATCACAAAGATTGAACTTTTACCTTACTTGATATTTTTTGCTTCTCCATCAGACTTTGTATCTCATAGAGATTTTTTCTCTCTCTCTCTCATTCTCTCTCCACCTCTCATCAACATCAACATGATGATGATGAGATGGTTCTAGCTCACTGAAGTCTTTTCCTCTTCCTTGAAGATGTCCCAAGCGTGCCATTTGAAAATACTGTGTTAAAAGTAAAATATATATGCAACTAGACAGAGGAAAAGTAAGATAACCTCCTAATGGTGCGAAAGAGCAAAATTTGTTGATATCATCATTTTTCCCGGAGGAATCTGAGTTTTATATATTCCTTACTCTCTCTTTAGATTTTTTCTTCTATTCTTTCCACCCTCTCTCTTGCTCTTTCCACCGTCTATCATGTTTCATCCTTTCTCTCTCTCTCTCTCTCTCTCTCTCTCTCTCTCTTTGTATTTCGATTTCCATAGTTTCCACTCCGTGTGTGTAGATAATGTTGGTCTTGGTGAGTAATATTGTGATGATAATGCCTAAGAAATCAGGGTTACATTCATTTACTTTTCTTACTCAGAACTGTAAATGAACTTTCTGATCACCGATGGGAACATTTCATTGTCTTTTTTCAATGATCCCGATTTTCAGGGTGAAAATTACTCGTTAATTGTACATGTCGATCAGCTGATTTTTCACACCGCTGAAAAAATCAATCGGTTAGAATTTAAGCTGAACAATTTGCTGGTTGATCTTTTCCACTGAACTTTATTCAATTTAGATAAAGGTTGTAAATTGTTTTCTTATTAAATTACATTTGATTAGGTTATCATATTTACAGAAAAAGCTTCAACTTGTTAACTCTTATTGGATCATTTGAATTGTTCAAATTTCTCATAATTTTCTTAAGAAACACAAAACCTTCATCTAAATCATTCAGAAGAATTTAAATCTTTTCCAATACAATTAAAATTCGTCCAACAATCAACTAATTGTTCAAATCAATGAATGAAACACTTACCAAGATACTATTTCCATCTAGTGATAACAATTTAAACTTAAATTCTAAAACAAATCATCACAATTAACTAATCTACCTTCAAGCCAAATCAATATCAACATTGAATAACTTTTAATTAGTTACGAAAAATTAATTGTTCACTTATCCAAATTAATTGATCACAAACAAATCAATTTAAAGACTTTGTTATTAATCAAATCATTTGTAATCTCTAATCAATGGTGGTAACAATTAGAGTTGTTTACATTTGAAGAATTGAATTTTGTTACAATTAATGAAATTTAATCGGTTGATTTGTGGAGAGAAATGAAAAAGTTCAATTGATTGAATTAATTGTCGGCGAAAATGTGATCAATGTATCGAAGATAAAGAAACGATAGTATCGAAAAGGTAAGAAAAGGTAAGAGAATTTTTTTTCTTTCTTTTTCTCTTATTGTTATTGTTTTAAAACCGAATGAGAATTTTTTTCCTTTGATCTCCCAATTAACATTTAATTGTTTCTAATTTTGATTTATTTAATTATTGGCATGTTTCTCAACGTCATTTTGTAATGTGTACATTTTATACTCTATTATATGAACAATCAAAGTTTCTACACAGGAAAGAAATGTAAGTAATCAGACAAAGAGAGTAGAAAATTATATAGAGAGAAAGAGAAAATGGAAAAAAATTTTTCTAAAGAATGACTTGCTCTTCATATTGTATTTCTTAAGCTTCTCTTTTTTACTTTGTCTCTCGTTTTCGTTTTCTTGGAAGAAAATCTTTAGGCTTTATTGGCATTTGCTTCTTTTCTCTCTGTTTTTGCTTCTATCCATGTAAAGAATAATGTTACTCAACCATCTTTGTCTTTCCTTAGGTTGTCACCGGAAGAGAGATCATATTAGAAATAGAATATAAAAAACAACGTAAATTAGATTCTAAACCTTTGGGTAAGTATCCAATCATTTTCAATCGATGTTGAGCTTTAATCAATCATAAAAAGCGCGGTTATCCTTTCAATACTGTTTTCCTTTCTCTCTCTCTCTCTCTCTCTATTTGTTGTTCCATCTGCATGAGATTCTGTCTCCATGAAGAGTAACAACCAGAAACTGGTTAATGTTTTTTTCTTGGTGTTATTACAGTAAAAACCTAAAATTTGTAAATCATCTAATAATGTTTTCTTTTTCTATTTTTTCTTTTCTCTTATGGTTTCATCTACTCTCATCTCATGGTTATTATCATCTACCTCATCTACATATTCTTGGTATTGTCCATCATCATCTTTCCTTCATCATTTCTTATATTCCTGATTGATTTTTTACCAATTTTTGCTTTATTTTCTTTTACTTTGGTGTTTCATTTTCTTCCATTTTTCTTTTCTACTCTTTCTCTTTTATTCTTTCTCTCCATTTTTTGTTGTTGTTTTTGTTTTCCTTTATCTTTTATTCTATCTCCTTTTTGTAGTCATCATTTTGGATGATGACTACATCACAAGTTTCACCACCATTGAGAACATTACCAACCAGTGTAACCGAGTTGGATAAAAAGCTATTTAAACAAGCTCAAGAAGTAGCTGAGAAACAATTTTCCACTCAAATTTGTACACCATTAAAGGATAAAACGGGAATACCATCTTCTTTTCGTGATAATAAAGACCACAAAGAGAAAAAGGTTAACTCTTATTCCAGTATAAACTGTTCGGGTGCAGAAACACCCGGCAATGGTTCAATTGTAACAGGAGGTGGCGGTGGAGGCTCTCCTACAATCACCTTTAGATGTCCAGCCGCAATTGAATTTGGAAAATTTGAAATCGATACCTGGTACTCATCTCCTTACCCTCAAGAATATGCTAGATTGCATAAGCTATTTATTTGTGAATTTTGTCTTAAATACATGAAAAGTAAACCCATTTTAGAAAGACATTCAGTAAGTTGGCCCGAAGCTGATGATAAATTTAACGACCGGTGTTCATTTAGATTAACCCTTTTCCTCAAGGCGAAAACCTTTTCCTTTCTAGATGAGTAAATCAGTTAGTCGACGCAAATAAGAAGAGGCCAAAAGCATCAAACAAGAAAACTCTTGGTTGATTAAAAAGCGAAAAACCATTCAATCAACCAACTATATAGAGAAATTATCGATTTAAATTAGCATATTATCTCCATTCAATAATCTAAATGAACACTATTCGTTTTATTAGAAAAGATCATCATTATTATCCGTCTAATAGAATATTTAAAAAAACAAGTTAATTCTATTTCTAATTTTCTGTTTCTCTTTTTTCTTACAGACGAAATGTGTTCTTTTTCAACCACCAGCGACTGAGATTTATCGTAATAATCATCGAATCGATGATGAGGATGTTCAATTAAGTGTTTTCGAGGTAGATGGTCTTGTTAGCAAAATCTATTGTCAAAATTTATGTCTTCTTGCAAAATTATTTCTCGATCATAAAACTTTATTTTATGATGTCGAACCTTTTCTATTTTATGTATTAACCAGAAATGATGAGAAAGGTAAACAATTTATATATATTTTCTTTCTCTCTCTCTCTATAGAATTTACTTTTGTCTCTATTTGTTTATCTGTTTGTGTATATTTCTCATCATTTTTATCTTCATCTTTTCATTGATATATTTTTGCTCCTTTTACTTTCTCTTTAGGCTGTCATCTTGTTGGATATTTCAGCAAGGAAAAACATTGTGCACAAAAATATAACGTTTCTTGTATTATGACACTTCCTGTTTATCAGAGACAAGGATATGGACGTTTTCTCATTGAGTTTAGTTATCTACTTTCTCGCCGTGAAGGAATGGCTGGTACACCTGAGAAACCTTTATCTGATCTTGGTAAATTATCTTACCAATCTTTTTGGAAATCATCAATTCTAAAATATATCCATGATAAGGAGACAATTAATTTAGAAGAAATTTCCAAAGAAACTGGAATGAATGTACATGATATTGCATCTACTTTGCAAACCTTTGACATGATTGATTACCATGATGAGGAAGGATCTCCCAAGTATAATATTAAAATGAAAACGGAAATGATTGAAAGTTTACGTAAAAGTAGATTATGGGTTGAAGAAGATGGACTTCGTTGGACACCCTTAATTGCGCCAAATAGTGCTTGCAGTCAAGATGGAAGTGGAGCCGAAGAAGATGAAATACTTCACTCCGAATTAACTATAGATGAACAAAAAATTAAAAGTGGTCCAATTGGACCGGCCAAACAATCATTGATCCCACTGCCTTCTAATAATGATTCAACCATTTTAACTTCAAAATCTTCACGAAAAAAGAGAAGAAGAAAAACCAAAACTTGGTAAGTTTTTCTTTCTCCCCATCAAATTTAAGCTTATTTAGCTTCTCATTTTATGATTTGCCACAATTTCCCGTCAACTCTTAACTAATCACTAGACTTGAATCACTAATTGTATTCATTTCTTTTTTATCCTGATAAATCATCGTTAAAGGAACAGTTTAGTTTACAAGTAAATTAAACTTTTACCTAATTTTTGAAAACAGTTTGAAACAGAAATCAGCTGTTAGTTGTGTTGATTTATTAATCATATCTTGTTGATTGTGTATCTATTTTTTTTGCTTTAATTTTTTTCTTTGTGTTTAATTAATTGTTTGTTGTTGTTGTTTATTCTTTAGGTATGATTCTCAGAAGAAAAGGAAACGCAGATCAGACATGAAAAGTTTGCATGATGGAAACAATGCTCTTGATGATAATGAAAGTAACGATGTGAAAATGGAAAATGGTGCAGGAGATGATCGTGATTTGGACAATGAACATGAAAATCGTGAAATGGACATTGAACATGATGAAGATGACAATACTAGGAATTCAATTATTTATTCATCTCGCAATTCACCGGAAGATTTTGGTTCATCAACTGAAGAGGAGGAAGGAGGTGAAACAGTTGAGCTTACCTTTAATGATAGTATGACAAGTGATATTGACACCACTCCGATAATAGAAACCTGCACATAATCAGAGTGAACAGCGCAAACAATTAAAAACAAAACAATCGGAAAAATTTGCTTAATTATCACAATTATAAACCAAAAAGATTTCAATTGTAAAATTGTAAATCTTGAAAAGTTTTTGATTAACTTCTGATGGAAAACAAAAAAAAACTCTGGAGAAGTTGAAACTTTAATATCTATTAATTGACAGCGAAAGATAAATGATAACCAAAATGATATTGTGTTTTACTTCTGAAACAAACTATCCAATTACAATTAACTAATTATGTTCTCAAAATTGATCACAATTTACTTTGATTAAGATAACAATCCACAATTATTTTCGTACAATTAATAGTCGAAACATGATTCAATTATTATTTTTTGTTCTTTTTTTTTTGTTAATCAACCTTCTTTTCTTAATTGTAAAACATTGAAAATCGAATTGAATTTATCTTTTATCAAATTTAATTCAATGTAAACGCGAAAGTGATTAATTTATTAACAAAATTTGTCGGCGAAATAAATGTTCGATATATCGAAATTGAAGAAACGATAGTATCGATTCTCTAAAAAGAAAGACAAATTTTTGTCTCTTTCTTTTTCTCTTAATGTTATTGTTTTGAAACGAATCATTTTTTTTGTTGATCTTTTTTATCTTTAATTATAATTAGTTAATTGTTCTCAACCGGTTAAATTGTCATCAGCTCTGAGAATAGACAATCTGATTCTATAATTTCATCTGTTTCCATTCTGTTACTTTGAGTTAATTGTTTGTGTCTCTCTTTTTTTCCTTCTTGTTTATTGACAATTGATCGTTGGTTAAATTGTTTATTGAATGATAATTGTTTTCTCTAATTATTTGTAATCATTTATTTTCATTAGCAATTATTTATACGCACAGAGAAAGAGAGACAATAGTTAACTAATCAATCTGTATTTCTTTAGTTAGAATACTCGTTTAAACCCTTTTCGTTTAAAACTCTATGATCGCAATTAGATGTTACTAATATTCAAAGGATTCTTTCAACACCTTAATTGATCAGCAATTAAAATTATGTAAGTTTAATTTGATTTATTCTCCTTTGTTTCTCTTCAATTTCCATGTAGCAAAGGTTATTGAAGATAATTGTCATTGATTGAGTTCTATATTGTCATCTCAGGATAAGGTAAACTGGTATTGTGATTAATATCATTTGTTACCGAGAGATTGTCAATCCTATTGAATTTTGATTTTTCTCTTTCTTTTCTTTCATTCTAACGCCTTCTCTTTGTATTTTCTCTTTCTATTCACTTTCTTTATCTCTTTAATCTACAGGTAAACTATTCCAATTAGTCATCAGCTGGTTACGCGTATCAATTCAAGTTTGACAATCGCCAAAATTACCAAAATCATAATCAACCTTTTCCAATGTGAATTTGGCTTTTCCTTTACACTTTGATTGTCCTTTTCAAGAAAATTCATTGAAACCAAGAAATCAGCTGAATCAGGAGAATCAACATATTCCATGACTGTACAGATTTTCCCTTTAACTATGATCAACAAAAGATGAATCTTAATTTTTTCCGCAGAAAAGGTTAGTTATCAGAATAATATCAATTCGAATCAATAATATTCATGATAATCCTTTTTTTTTCATTTCGTTTTCCTTTTAACAAATTGGTCATTTCTCTTTATTCCCGAATTTATATTCACATGTATCATGATATTCAGACTAATTCTCTTTCCAAATGATTACTCTAATTTCTAGTTCTGTCAAGAGGCTCCTCTTGATGAGAAAACAATAATCATAATATACATCAGGAAGTTTATTTTTCTTCAATCAATCTTAGCAACCTTATCTTCACGTAATCGTAATTAATTGGTAGACTATTGAATTGTTGATTTATTCTCACTTTTTGTTAACCTTATTTTCATCTCTATCAAGTGTATTTGATGAATTTCTCTCTGTATACACTTGTTGATTTGTTCTTTTCTCCATTTGATCTAATTTTCAATGTTCTCTCTTTCTTTCTATTCTTTTTTTGTGACAGCAAATAAAAATCGAGAGAATGGGATCAACGCAATACTCTCGATGGGCAATGAAATTACCCATACAAATGAATCATCAACATGTTCACCATTCACCACATCCACACCACCCTTTTCATCCTCCTCATCATCATCATCTTCAGTCGCAGCAACAACAACAAGGAAAACATCATCATCAACCCTTGAGAAATTACCTGATATCACTCGATCACCATTTTCTTCATCATCAAATCGTAACAATAGTCTCTCTAGTATCGCCCTTCGAGCTAGCCTTAATTCACCTGGAATATCATCTCATCGTAATCTTAATCGAAGCTATCAGATGCAAATTGCTGAAGCAATTTACGATGAAAATAAACCGTTAGAAACACGATCACGTTTATCACCAACTCTTATGGATATTCTTAAAGATCATGAAAGTCTTTCATATTTTGTCCAATTCATGGAATCTCGTGGATCAACAAGCAAACAATTGATTCGCCTATGGATACAATTAGAGTGTTTCCAAAGATTTTCCAAAGAATTTATAACATCAGAGATTGATTTTAAATTAGATGCTGAAGGTATTTGGGATAAATTTCTATCTCATGATAAATATAAACAATTGGGTATTAGTGATGTGGTTGTGACAACAATTGAATCAAGATTAGCTGATTCCTCCTCACCGGTGGGTGAAAATTTATTCAAAGACCTTGCTGAATGGATAGTTAATCATTTGGAAACCTCTTATTATAATCAGTATTGTAAAAGTTATTACTTCTGTAAATATCAAGTTTCCGTATTGACCAGTGGACATTTAAGGTTACCCGATATACTTTACAATGATTCAACGCTTTTCTATTTCATGGAGTTCATGGAACATGAAACAATGAATCATTATATTGATTTTCTAGTGATGGCAGAAAATGTTAGGAAAACCGATTGTATTACAAAAGATGACCTGACAATCTTGTATCAAAGATTTTTCTCCATTGAATCACCAAGTTATCTTGAGATGAGTGAAACGCTTAAGTGCCAAATAGAGGAATCGGTTCGACGAGGTGATAAGTCCAGTTTCGATAAGCCAATTTCCATATTGATGCAATATTTTGAGGAAACTTATTTTCAACAATTTCTATCAAGTCAAACTTTCTTCTCATTTCTTGATGAGTCAATTAAATCGTTACAAATAAATAGTGAACCTGGTTTGGTATCTTCTTCAAGGGTTCGTCGTGATTCAGGTTCAAGTGATCGCTCAGGTCCATTAACTTCACAGCAAAGTTTATCCTCTTCTTCACTTTCCGTTGTAAATTGTGGCCGTGATTTAAATTCTAAACCTTGTTTATCAAATTTAGATGATTATGATTCAATCTGGCGACGGGATTATGCAACTGACCTGCAAATGGTCACCGTTGATCGTTATGGTAAAGTTATATCACATTTTCAACCTCAACCAGTTAACAGGAAATCCAATGGACTGAGTTTATCGAGAGCGGTTAAAATGTTCAGACAAAATTCATTAGAGGAAAAGGAGAAAGAGGAATTAGCATACAAAGTGGCCCAGATGATTATCGATGATGTTTTCGCTGTGACCCAAGGCTCCGTTTCTTGAGGTTTAATCGTGACAATTTACAACGATTACGAATCAAAATCTCATCAAATTTGTCAACTAACATCAATCATTTAGATGGAAAATTAATTTCAAGATTATGATACAAATGGATTTCTTATTATCCTAATCCTAATTCTGTCGATTAAGCTTTTCAATTAACTACAATGGCAAACAAAAAGTTAACTATTGGTCCAATTTAAATCAAGGAATGAAAAGTTAATTACTTTCAATTAGCACTTTGCTTTGCTTTGGGTGATAATTTAATTGTTCATGATAAGTTTTCATTTACTTGTGGCTCAAACCTGGAATCAGTTGATGATTATTATTATATAATTTAAGATTATGATGATAAAACAATTTCTTAATCTCTTGCTTTAAATAATTTGACTTGTCTCATTGAAAAACAATCAATTTATTTTTAATTAATAACTTTATCTGTTATAATTACTCACCTTCTCTCTCTCCCTCTCTATCTCTGTATTGGTGAAATGTTAATCATTTAAATTGTTCAATCTCACAATCTCTCCATTAACTAACTATCCATGGAAAATGAAATCACTCATTCAATTGAAACTCATTCATAATTAACCTTTGCTATAAACAAACAATTCTGATGCTCTTATCAAACCTTGATTAATTAACTAATTGCGATCCCATGTCATTATATAAATATTTTGACTGCAATATAATTTGTCCAACAAAAACAAAATATCAATCAATATATATATAAATATGTATAAAATCAAAGAAGTAATTAATTAATATCTCTAATTGCGATATATAAATATTAACTTTCAACTGAAACAAATCAAAAATCATTTCGTCAAAATAACAATTAATTAACGAGTTTCCAACAATTAAATGACTAAAAAGTCAATCAAATTAGATGAAGAAAATTGAGTTTCCAATTAATTTGCATATCGAAAACAACAAATCCTATTACATTTAATTCAATCGGAAAATCAACGGAATAGATAAAAAATTAACTAATTCTAATTGCAATTAAGAGGAAAAAAAATTTAATTCGTAAATTTAATTGTTTAATTGTAAGAATTTGAACCGAGCGCTTATATTTAAATCCAATCCTTTTCTTCAGGTTTGTTTACATGTGAATGTGAATTTTGTTTTTCAAACGTGACAGAAAATCTAATTGTTTGACCTAATATATTTAAATTGTTGTCTTTTTATTAGCGAAAATTGTTTGTAATTAATTTCTATTGATTAATTAGTATTGAAATGAACCATGAAAACATTTACATTAGAAAAAATTAAATCTATTCAAGATGATGTTTCTCATATAAGAAATATCTGTATTCTTGCTCATGTTGATCACGGTGAGTTTGTTTACATTTAATCATTTTAATTGTAATTAATTGTTTAGTGTTTCTCTGCTAGTGATTATGGTTAAATTGTGATGTTCTTAATTACATTGGAATCATAATTGTGAACTGACTAGTGTTTGATTGTCTATTTAAAGCTCTGTGAATGAGAATCTTTTTTTTTGTCGGTGATTAATTGTTTTCTTTTTATTTTCCTTTAATTGTGTTTTTAGGTAAAACAACACTCGCTGATTATTTAATTGCTAGTAATGGGATTATCTCTTTACGATTAGCTGGTAAATCCAGGTATCTGGACAGTCGACCCGATGAACAACAAAGAGGAATTACCATGAAATCAAGTAGTATTGCTCTTGGACACTCAATCGGTTAGTTTAAATTATCCATAGAGAATTAATTTCTATTTAGAATTTTTTTATTATTCTTTTCTAATTTAAATGTTCTTTTCTTTTGTATTTTCCTATAAATGGATATTTAAGATGATGAAGATTATCTCGTTAATGTTATCGACTCTCCGGGACATGTTGATTTCTGTGGTGAGGTTTCAACGGCAATACGACTTTGTGATGGTGCGCTAATTGTTATCGATGTTGTTGAAGGACTTTGTGCTCAAACCAAGACAGCGATTCGTCAAGCCTGGACTGAGATGATTAAACCAGTTTTAGTTTTAAATAAAATCGATCGGCTTATATTGGAAAAACAGTTAACACCTTTAGACGCTTTTGTACACCTACAACAGATATTGGAACAAGTTAACGCTCTTATGGGCGAATTGTACAATGTTGAAGTATTAGAAGAAGATGATGATGATCCTAATCACGAGAAGAAAAATGGTACCAATCGATTGGTGAACAATTTACCAGATAATAATCGTGATTCAAATTCAGAGGAAAAAACTTACGATTGGAATACGGGTTTAGACGATAAAGATGATTCCACTTTCTATTTTGCTCCTGAACAAGGAAATGTTGTTTTCGCCAGTGCCTTGGATGGTTGGGGTTTTACTATTCAAGATTTTTCCAAATGGTTGAGTAATAAACACGGTTTCAAGGTGGAAACCCTAAATAAAACCCTATGGGGCGATTATTACCTTAAGGGTAAAACTATCATGAAAGGTGCTCAATCAAAGGCTAAAGAACCATTATTTGTATCAATGATTTTAAAGCAAATTTGGTATATTTATGATTCTGTGATGATCCGCCGAGATAAAATAACTACCGATAAAATAATATCCAATCTTGGTCTAACAATTCACCGTCGAGATGTAACCCATAATGATCCAAGGGTAACCCTACAATCAATATTAACCCAATGGTTATCACTTGCACCCAATTTACTGACCGCTGTTTGTACCCTAATCCCAAGTCCACTTGAATTACAGGAACAGAGAGCGGAAAAGTTAATGTGCTCCAATACAACGAGATTTGAACTATTCCCAGAGAAAACGAAGAAAATGAAAGAAGCCTTTCTTACCTGTTCCAAAGAGGGATCAACAATTGTCTGTATTTCTAAAATGTTCCCGGTGGAAAAAAACACTTTACCTCAGTATAAACCTAAACCTTTAACAGTTGATGAAATTTCCCGTCGTCGGGATCTTGTCAAAGCTACACTAATGTCCAATAACAGTGTTAACGAAGGTATAACGGGATCAACGCCAGTTTCTATGGGAACAAAGGAAGATGAACTTGGTATAATAACAGCGATACCCGCCGGTGGTAAAAGTGAACAGGAAGAAGATGAGATGAGGGAGAATATTGTTTTCCTTGCTTTTGCCAGAGTTTTCAGTGGAACCATAAGTAAAGGAGATCAACTTTATGTACTTCACCCTAAACATGATGTAACCAGAATAACCGATGAAACTGTGATAGATACAAATGCCAAATTAACTGACCTTAAAACTGACCAACACATTACCTGTGCCAAAGTAGAGGGACTTTATATTTTAATGGGTCGTGGCCTTGAATCAATTGACTCAGCTGGAGCGGGAAATATTGTTGGTATAACTGGACTTGAAGATCATGTCATCAAATCGGCAACACTTTCCAATACAATTTACTGTCCACCCTTTATTGATCTACATGTTCCCTCTCAGCCTATCCTACGGGTCGCCATTGAACCCGTTAATCCAAGTGAAATGAGTAAATTAATTAAAGGGTTAAAATTGTTAAATCAATCGGATCCTTGTGTTGAGGTACGAATACAAGATTCAGGTGAACATGTAATCATCACCACGGGTGAAATTCATTTACAAAAGTGTGTTGATGATTTGGTTAATAGATTTGCCGGAATTGAAGTTAACGTTTCATCACCGATTGTCCCATTTAGAGAGACAATTGTCCTTAATCAATCAGGTGATCAACAACAACAACAACAACAATCAACGAGCAACTCTAATCAAATGTCAAGCAAAACAATTAACGGATTACAATCGTCATCATCATCATCATCAAACTTTTCCTTGTCATCAACTGAAATTCAACAATCAACAATTAATAGTAATAATATTAATTCTAATTGTGAAGAGAATCACCAAGATTCCGAAGGATATTTAATTCTAACAACACCAAACAAAAAGTCAACAATTAAAATTAAAGCTTTTCCTTTACCAGAAGAAATAGTTAAATTGTTGGAGAAAAATTGTGATCTAATTAAGAAAATGGATGAGATGGACAAAAATCGAAGTCAATTAGATTGTAATTTAATTAGTACCGATTTAAGTAAACGTTGGAATGAATTTAAAGATAAACTGAATGAACTTTTAATCGAGAATCAAATTCAAGGTTTAACTGATTCTTTCAAACGTATTTGGTCATTTGGTCCAAAATATTGTGGACCAAATATACTTTTTAACGCAATTGATGATCTACCCAATTTCTCATCACCATTATCTTCCTCATCATCTTATTCATCACCTCATTTATCTTCCATTGATTCATCATCAGCTGATCCCCGATCTGAATACGAGTATAGTTTCATCAGCGGTTTCCAATTGGCCTCATTTTCTGGTCCACTTTGTGAAGAGCCAATGTACGGTGTTGCCTTTATAATTAAATCTTGGACAATTGAATCAATCAACCAAACACAATCGGAACAACAACAAATCCAATCAACTGAAAGTGATCCCTATGGTCCATTCACTGGTCAGATAATGTCCACCGTCAAGGACGGTTGTCGAAAAGCCTTTCAAGCTCAACCCCAACGGCTTATGGCCGCAATGTATTCATGCACCATTCAGGTTACCAGTGATGCTCTGGGTAAGTTATAACAATCAAATTATCTCTAAATTAATAACCAACAATTGTTAACTAATAATAATCAAATCGAAATGAAAAATGAGAGGAAACAAGAAAATATCATCAAAATGAATCAAATTACTACTTAAATTGCAAGTTTGCAATTTAATCCATAATCAAAATAATGAATTTAATTCAAAGTCCAAACAAACAAAAAAAAACTTAAATCAAAACTCAACAATTAACTTACACAAATGAATCAGTAACCATTCATAACTAATACCTTTCATTGTTAACATAATCAACCAACAACAACAATAATAATAATAATCTTATACCAATGATAATTACGTAATTGTTATAACAATTTAGCTTAATTGTGATTAGCAATTAATCAGATAAGATAAACCAAACGAAACAAAACGAAAAAGTTTACTAATCAAATTGTATTTCAATCTCTGCCTCTTTTGATTACAACAACAACAACAAAAACTCGCAAAACAATTAGTAATCAGCCGCTCACATGTAATTAATCAATTGCAGTTAAATTGTAATGATTTAGCAAATTGTTATGCACAAAATGCAAAACTCCAACAATGTCAAGGGTAAAGTAAAAAGTGAAACTGATTATGGGAAAAGTTTCTAGTATATAATTTGAAACTGAAATGATAACCTTGTCACACAAAATATTACCAATGTTTTTACACCTCAGTGTTGGTCCATTGATTTTTCACATAGAGACACATTAGCAACTAACATGTTTCAACTTTCTAATGATATATATTTATAAATATCTACATAGAGATCACATTGGTAGGAAAAAAAACTAGGTAATAACTTCTTGAAACTTTTATTTTTTTTTGTTCCTTCTTTTACTTTCATACTAACCCAATGGGCCGAGTTATAGTCCGATGTTATTATTATTATTATCTATGGTTTTATTATTGTTGGTTATTACCTTTATTATTATATGTCACAGATTGTGAGTCCTGACTTATATATTTTATTTCCTTGACTGAAACGCAGTTTATGTACGAGGTAATGTGCTGGATATTTATCATATTCTTTAGTAAGAAAGAAAGAAGAGAAAAAAATCTTCCTAAAAAAAGCAACGAAAAAAGTAACAGCAGTAGCAATAGAAAATGATCAAGAGAGAGAGAGAGAGAAAAAACATCATAGGGAGAGAGTGAGAGATTAGGAAGAGAAAGAAAAAGAAGATGAGGAAGATGAGGATGAGGAGTGGAAAATTTAGAAAGGTAGGAGGAAGAAAATAGCATAGGTAAAAAAGGCATAAAACGGTTGAGTGGACGAGAGAGAGAGAGAGAGAGAGAGAGAGAGATGATGATGATGATGATGAAGATGAAGATAAATGAAGAAGCAGAAAAGTTGATAGAGTATGAAGAAGGAGAGAGAGGGAGATTTTTTCTACCTTTTTCTTACTGTACAGTTGAAAATAATCCATAGGAAAAGCATAAAATTGAGGGTAACCCTGTAAATCTAATGAGCTTTGTGGTTTTTCAAACTGACTACCAGATTCACTATTAAGCATCACTATTAACATCATCATCTTGATCACCACTGGAATGCCAATTTAGTATTAGGATGATGATAACAATCAAAAAGCATTGATGCAAATTACAAAGGGAAGACATAACAATAATAAACCGTAATAACTTTCATCCCAGTAACATATAAATCTACATATGTAAATACAATGTAATTTAAATGTTTACCTTTTTTTTTGCAATCTTTTTGTCATCTTCATATAAAAATGTGACAATTACTTTTACCATAGAGATTCATTTATGAATCATTTTGAGTCTTTCATTATGATTAGTTCATAAATAATCAATGGTAAAATAAACATATCAACTTTATTTTAAGTTTATCAATATTCATCAAGATCCAGGTAATGATGATGATAAGCAGAAAGAGAGAGAGAGAGAGAGTTGAAAAAAAGAGTAACCGAAAAGTGAGTTAGTTTATTTGTTGTTTTCTACTTTTTCTGTTGCTTACAATGAATTTGAATATACACATGATAATAATATATTTCTGTGAATAAATAGTGATGGTTTTTGGAAACATGAAGAGAGAACAAATTGCAAATGATGATAATGAAGATGAGGATGGGGATGAGAAAGGAGAGTCTTAGAAAAAAAGAGGATGATGAATACAAGGAAGAGAAGAAAAAAAGTAAAGGTTTTCACTTTGATATTATTATCACTTTGCTGGAACCATCACCAACTATTGTGAGTTATTCACATGGGTCATCGTAGGAGATTGTATTTTGTGAATAGTGAGCTCCTCCTAAGAAGATAGTGAGAGAGAGAGAGAAGATGATGATGATTAAGATGATGATGATAATGAAGAAGAAAAAAAAGATGAGATAGGAAATTGATGAGGAAAAAATGACCATAGGCAAGACTTTCTTTTCATCTTCTTTCGTGCAGGTAACCTCATCTTTTTGTGGTTAAGTTTTCTCTCTCTCTCTCTCTCTCTCTTTCTCTTTCTCTCTTGCATCTTCCTACCTTTACATTTACCTGGCTACAATTATAATTATCTTTTAACTTTTTTTCTCGCTCAGGTATAAAAGGTAAGCTGAGTAAGCACAGCTTCCCGCACTCACTCACTCTCGCAAAGTTACAATCAAAAGTAATCTGTATATTTATATATATATTATATTGTTGTGATGACCGGTACACACATACCTGTACATTTCTACCTGTACTTTGTGGTTATTACTTTTTGTACATTTGCTTGTGTGTCTGTCTGTTTGTTTGACTTGTATTTATTTTATTTTATTTGTTTGTTTGTTTTGCTAACCTCAAAAACCTGCAAGTGATGAAAGACGGTGATGATGATGATGATGATGATGATGTTGAGTGGGTGAGAGTAAAAAGAGAGAAAAAAAATCTCTCTTCTTTTTTTACCTCAATTTTCAGGTAAGAAAAAAAAAGAGCGAAAATAAATTGTTAGGAGGATCCCGAAAACGAAGGAAAAAAAAATTAAGAGAAAACTTTCAATTCTAATGCATTTTAAATGCTTCTTTTCTCATCTTCTTTTTTCATCATCATGCCTTTTTATCATCAAGTCTCTCTCTCTCTTCTTCACCCTAAAAGGCTGATGCTTGATGATAGCTTCTTTTTCTGGTCATCATCATCATCATCATCATTATCATCAGTTGGCACAATCTAAATAATATCATAATGGACTCTCTTTGCTTGGAAAATGTTGATTGCCTTTTTTTTTCATCTTCATTTTCACTCTCTTTTTTATCTTCATCTTTTCACTTACCTGTAAATTTTTCTACCTTTTCTGGTTCATCTTGTACATTATAAAATTATATTAACTCTCCAGGTCTAAGGTCATTTCGTTGACGGTTTTTACGTGCCCCTGATCGTAATTTACTCTGTGGTTTTCTTACCTTTATTATTACTTTGTAATGTCTTTTCTCTTGTTATTATTATTACAATTACTTATTGTTACTTCTGTTGTCGATTGACCCAATTTTCTGTTCCTTCCCTTGGTCAGTATATATTTTGACATTCGAGAGCTTTGATTTGTTGTTTTCTATCTAATCCTGTCAATCTAATGACAATTAATCAAACTTTCTAAACTTTATAACTTGTTGTTAAATCTCTGATTGTAATTATATATTTTCGTTTGGTTTGCAAGGTAAAAAAAAGTGATTTTTATTTGTTCGCTTTAAGTATTAATATTGATTGAAAACCTTTGTTTTGTTTTTTGGTATTTCTTAGTTGTATTGGGTTTCCTTGTTGTTGTTTGTGTCGACGATGAAGATGAGAATGATGTGAATGATGATGATGATGATGATGATGATGATTATAATGATGGTGATGGTATTCATTTCACTCGGGGTAGAGTTGATTTTGTTGATATGGGTTAGGTTAAGTTTCCATAGGTTTGCAATGGTGCACAATAACCACTGTAAGTTTTAATCTTATCCAATGGATAAGGGCTGTGGGTATCACATTGGGATGCTTATGATGGGCTGGACAGTAATGTCTTGGTCCACAATTACACAAGGTACTTGTGTTGACCTCTTCAAATTCATTTCGTTTCATCACTGTGAATAAACGACATGGTTCTTTACGTCGACACTTCATCTTCTATAATTTCATAGGTGTGGTTTAAAGGGTGGGTAAGGATGAGAAGAAGATGAAGATGATGATGATGGAGAGAGAGAGAGAGAAAAAGATTAGAATTTTGATTTTTTTGCTTCTTCTTCTTCTTCTTCTTTCGTAATTAAATATTATTATATTGATTCTTATCATTGACCATCATCAGTTGATTGTTGCAAATGGAAAATCAAATTGGGAAGAATTTTTTTTTTCTTATTGATTCCTATCAACTTTCAACCTCCTCTCATTCACTCCAACTGATTATTATATTTAAATTTCAATTTAAATGTTAATATTTGAATTATTCTTGTATGTTGATCAACTTAACTTTTTTTTCTGTTGGTCACTTATGTCCAAGACTTTTATTTTTCCCTTGTAAATCAATTCAACTCGTTAACTATTAATATATTGGTGATTTTTGTTTATCTCTCTTTCTCATTTCATCCTAATGTTTTAAACATTTCCACTAATATCAATTTAAATTGTCACATTTTTCACTTGATTAGCATCATTATAATGTTAAATTTACTTTATTGTATTGCTATTGTGATGATAATGATAATTGCTGGTAACACTTTGAATATCTATCAATGAGATGATGATTAGCATTTAGTTTTTTTTTTTGCATTTCGTTGGCAAAATTACATATGCATACATGTAAATAAATGTAAAGGTACTTACACTTTCAGGTGAACATGCAAATAAATATCTATTTGCAATACCTTTGTTTGTGACCTCAAATGATTGATGTTTAAATATATAAGCTATACTATTTTTGGGACAAATACAGGACATTATCTGCTCGGTCCGATTATCAGGGTAACTGGTCAGTGTCCATGTTACATCACGAAAATGTCGACATGTAGTTAATTTATTGACTGGTTCACAAATCTAAAAGGTGAATGAGAGAGAAAGGAAGAAAATAGAACAAAATTAGCGATAATTTTCCAAAGGAAAGATAATGATGATAATCATTTCGATGATGATGATGATAATCGTTGAAATTGTTCATTGGAGTAAATAATAATACACAAACTCCAATGGTGATTATGATACCTTTTTCTTCCTGTTATTTTTTCTTACTCATTCTACAGGTAAACTCTATACATTTTATAGTAAATACCATTCGTGATAATGATGATATTTTATCTTCCTTTTACCTTTGAATCTTAAAGGTAACGATCTTGTACACCCAAAAGGAAGAGAATGAGAGAGAGAGGGGGGAGATAAGCTAAGTACTAATTGTATATCTCAGGTAAATATTATTATTTTTCGTGATTTTCTCTGTCAGAATTACTTATATATGTACTAACGATAGTTGTTTTTGGGCGCGGAGTTAGGGACTGATAGACGAGGTAACGTTTTGGCCCGTGGCCGTGATGATGATGATAATAATAATAATGATAGTAATGATGATGATGATGATGATGATAACTCCCAAAAAATGTATCTTACCTACTTCCCTTTATTATCTCTTACCTTTTATGCTTGAAGATAAAAGTTTATTTTTTTTCTACTTTCTTCTTACCTTTATATTCACAGGTTAATGTTATTTCAGTATGTTACTACTTCTCAGTATTACTATTATCATTATCATTATCGTTGATTATTATGATTAGGATTATTATTGCTATTAATATAATAGGTTTCAATGAAAATGATATTATCGTACCTGAAAGTAATATAAAGGTAAATTGTTGAGATTTTTTCTTCATGTAGACAAATTAACCTTATCATTTCTCTCACTTGCTTTCTACGTAAGAGAAAGTTTATTACTTTGCTTACCTGTTCTCTCTCTCTCTCTCTCTCTCGCTCTTCATCTCCCACTTCCTGTGGATGATGAAGATGATGATTGAAGAGACACGCTTCACTTGCACTTAATCTTCTTACCACAAGAAGAATTTTTCTTCTTCATCTTCGCCATCTCTTCATCATCATGCGTCGTGATAATGGATATATAATGTTTCAAGGTAACTATTACTTAGAAGATACATTTTCAGATTCCTCGCCATCATCCTCATCTTCTTGGCGTCTCCTTTACTAGTAATTTCTCTCTCTCTCTCTCTCTCCTTCTTTCTTTTTTATCTGAATGATCTTAAAGATCATTGAAGAAAAATTTTCTCTTACAACTTTTCCATTCTTTACTGAGCTAAGAATGTAAAAGGTATTTTCATACGTACACATACCTGGAAAATAAAGGTGTGCAAAGCATGAATAAGATGAAGAAGAAGAAAAAAAAATAAACTGTTAGATATTTTTACTCTCACTCTCATCATCATCTTCATCTCCATCATATATATAGAAACATGAATTTCTCCAGGCAATATTATTATTATACTACATTATCATCATCATCATCTTAATCATTTCTTATACATTTAGGTTGTTGTTTATTATCAAAAGATTGAATGAAAATGTATTTTAAATCAATGTGCAATTTTCAAATGATTGCAATGATTACCTTTTCAAATTTTGCAGTTTTTGTTATCATTATTATTGCAGTTACTGTAAATCAACATAAGTGCAATAATAATAACACAATATCTACACATACACACACACACATAAACACACAGGTATATATGAATACAGGGACATATATATTTATATATGTGAGACAATTTCTTGTGAAAAAAAGTAAAGGTAAGAAAAGCATTGAGCAAAATAACACAATAATAATACCAACATGTGTTTGCAAAAGTCTATTGTGAAATTTACCTTTTGATGGATTGACGAGTTACCTTTTTTTTTACCTGAGTAACACTCACACTCTAAGCATATACCCTGTATTTGTTGTTGTTGTTGTTGTTGTTGTTTCTTATGCCTTCTAATCCAGTCCATCTCTGTATATCAACTTTCATTCACTGTCCATCTGAATGTTGTCTCCATTGATATCTTTGCAATTTTCTGTAGCTATTGATAATTGCACAAGATTTGATATACAGGCTAAGCTAATTTGTAATAAAGTGGCCATGTTAATTGTTTGCAATATCAATCAATCTGAATGCACTTTCTTTTACCTTTTAGATTCTAATATGTTACCAGGTAACAGTTTTTTTTTATATCTACTTCCTCACTAACAAAGGCAGTATTATTATCATGTTGATTGTTACCTCATCTTATTGGTAAGATATTGGTTCCTATGTAATAATATTTTTTCCCGCGATAGTTAATAGTTTTAAAAAGTTTTTCTCTCGCTCTCTCTTTTCAGTTCTATGTGTTTATGAACGAGAGATGTTACTTGGGATGAGAGATGAAGGGTAAAATGATGATGATGATTATGATGGTTGTGATGATAATGGAGAAGATGAAGTCCATAAAGTGTTTATTTCCTTCCATAGAGTATATGACTTTGCCTCTCTCTCTCTCTCTCTCTGTTTCTTCCGCTTCGGTCTTTGGATTTTTCGTCCTCGTCTTCTTTTCTTATTCTTTCATTCTTTACCTTTTTTTTCTCTCTTTCTCTCTCTTTCTTTTCATCATCATCAGCTCTTCTTCTTCATCATCTTCGCCCTTTAGATTTTCGCCCTAAGACTTCTAGTTTTTTCTTCTATTCTCTTTGTACCTTTGCAAGATATTTACAAGACAGATGGTTCTCGGTTTAAGGATCGTTTCGACAAAATACTCAACTTACGGGTTCTTACCTGTGTGTGTGCATCTTAAGTCGAAAGGTACAAGATGATGAAGAGGTAAGAAAGACTCCAGATCGTTCTTAGTCCTTGTACTATTAGAAGAGAGAGAGAGAGAGAGAGACAGTGAGCTTCACTTCTCGTCTTTCTCATCTTCTCTTTCTTATTTTTTTCTTATTTCTTTCTCCATGTGTCTCTTTCATCTTTAGGCCATACTTTTTTTTTCGAGTCAATACTTTGTATTAACTGTCATGGATCATTGAATTTTACTGTTCCTGGGAAAATGTTAATCTTTGCCTCTCTTTTTTTACTACTCACTCATCCCTCTATCTTTCTCTCTCTATCTCTGTCTATCTCTTGTATCTATCTATTGTCTCTGTCTATTTCGTCTTACCTATTTTCTTCATCATCTTCATCTTCATCTTTATCTTCCTCTTCTCTCATTGAAACAACGGAACTTACCTATGGTCAACTAGTGAGAATGTAAAAGCCAGTGGAGGATGAAAGATGATGAATTATGCAAAGAGTGAGAGAAAAAGATGAAGACGATGATGATGATGATGATAAATCTTTCTCTCTCTCTTTCATTATCATGCAAAATTGTCTTTCTTTTTTATGTGTCTTCTTCCTCTTCCATCAATTTCCCATTACAATCAAATCTAAATCAAACAAATTCAAACTTTTGTATCTTCTTCATCTTCATCTTCCTCTTTCTTTGCTCATCCTCTTACTTTCATCATCCGCATCATTTTTTTTTTTATTATCATCTCCGTGCTCAACTAATTCATCTTATTTATTATCATCAATTGATATGCTTATTTTTTTTTGCTTCTTATTTAATGTTTATCACATTGAAATTGAAAAAGCAAACAAAAAGTTTCATGATAATTTTGTTTTCCTTTAAATTTACTAATACATAACAATGAACATTTTGAATTAACTTTCGTTAACTTATTACATTCATCATTAAATGTCATCTTTCAATGATGATGATGATGAATAGTAAAAATGATCATCATTATAAAGTCACATTAATAACAAAAGTAATAATAATGATGACGATAAACGAGACGATCGAGAAAAAAAGTGACCTTAGAACTTTGAATTTTATGTCAGCGAAATATTGAAAAAAAAGAGAAAAGCAAATGAAAAGCTTCTCAATGTGAACCCGCTTTTCATTCAATTGATTATTTATCGTTTTTTAAATTCTATTCAAATTTGATAATCGAAAATTAATCTTAATCATATTGATCAGAATATCTATTATCGATTTGTACAGGTAAACACTGTAAAGAACTGATAATGATGATGATTAAGATGATGAAGTAACAGTAATAATAAACGTTGATTTATTATCATCATTGGAAAACTTTTTTTACTTCGTTAATTTAGTTTTTCTATTGCAAATTAAATTGAAAAACTTTTTCGTTTTCCAATTACAATCATTATTATGGTAATAATTATAATGATAATTTGCAATTTGCTGATTGTTGATTGTTTTGGAAAGGTTAATTTGCTTTTAATTGCTTTTTCTTTTTCTTTCATTTCATTTTCATTTTGGTTGCAAATTTTTTCTAATTTGTAATGAGATTTTAATGTATTTGTGATATTATATCATTAGCATGATGATGATGATGAACAATTTGATTGTTTTTATTTGCTGTTGATTATATATCGTTGTTTGTATATTGATTATCAATTTCAATTGAATTGCTTTCTTACCTTATATTGTTTGGTTTTATCAATTATGGTTCGTCCATCATTTGAATTCAATGAGGTTGAACAAGGTTTACTATTCGGACATCGGCATTGCCTCTCGATCCATGGGGCTGAGTAAGTGTCCACTTTATTGCAAACTTGCCAAGATTCACATTTTCTCAATATATTATCATATTTTTTCTGGACATGGGAGAGAAGATGAAACGGAAATGACCAATCAATATGATGCGAAAGATAAAATTAAACAAACCAACAGAACAAAAAAAAACCGGAAAAAGAATCAATTATGTTCAATAAGAGGAGGAAAAATTGATGCTAAATGATAGATTCTTATGTTTAATTTTCATCTTCTTTTTTTTCATCATCATCATCATCTCTCATTAAGGCCACAAGCCTACGCTTTACATGATGGTAAATAAGATGATATTGAATATCATCTTTGTGAATTTATCATCATCTTCAAAGTCTCTGTCAATAATACTTGTAATATCAATGAGAATTTGCTTTTTTTTCAAAATTCAGCTTCTCAAGGTTTTCTCATCATAAGAGGTGGACCTGTTTGAATGATGTTGAAAATTGATTCTCAAATGATGATGATGATGATGATGATGCTCAAGGCAAGTCAATGGAGTTTTGCATTTGATAAGATGAGATGATGATCATCTTGATTATCATCATTTAAAAGTGAGACAGGTTAGTGAATGAAAGTTGTTATACCCTTAAGATGTTGATGATGATATTTGGTTAAGGTGATTTGTATTGATCAGGAACCAAATTTAAACAATCATTTAACACACACAGTAAACATACTTGACAATCATAGTAATTGTAATGATGATTATCAAATAATAACTTGAGAAAACCATATTTGGGATGAAATATTTTGATTATCAGTTATTAGCATGATTATTATCATGATTAACAATGAATTGTATATTTCTTTGAACGTTGTGTGTGTATGTGTGTGGATGTAAGTATATATTATTATTTACTCAATTCAGGATGTTTATTTATCATCATTATCATCATGAATGAATGAATGAGATGAATGAAGATAAATGTTATTAAGAATAAGAAAAAAAATTCTTGAATGAATGCGTGGTATGTGTTGATATTTAGGCTACTATTATATTATTACCATTATTCAGTAAGCTGGATTAATAATAATACTATTAGTTGATAGTAATTAGTTAATTGTAACGTAGAAAAAAAAATTTCTCAATATATTTGAAAGAAACAATTTTCTAAATTGTTTGATAGTTGGAATTATTTCTTTGAGTTAATTAACGTGGGCAGGAAGACGTAACCTCAGGCTAAATCAACTTGATTGTTGATGATGAGGATGATTATTATTATTATTATTATCATGATGATGATGATGGTGATTAAGTGACTCCCCTTATATGGATGACAAAAGTTTATTAGTTAATGATTAGTTTTAGGAGAGGGAAATTTATATCAATCTCTATGCGTTCAAGTTGTTTCATTTTCCCGGGTAAATTTTTGTTTTGTTTGTTTGTTTGTTTGTTGGTTTGTCGTTATTACAATTAAAGTTAATTGTTGGATTTAATTACTCACAGAGATGGTAAAATGTTTCTCCTTGATGAAACGATAAAACAATGAATTGGTTGAGATAATTGAAATGAGTGAAAATAATGATAATAGTGATGCTAACGGTTTCCAAGAGTTACCGTAACTGGATCCATTGAGAATTAACATCGCAATTAAAAATTGTTGGTTAATTGGCTTTGTTAATTTAATTGGTGTAGATTTGTTTGTAGTATATTAATATATAAGCTTTCGTTTAAATTAAATCTTAATTGTTTGTTGCAAGTTTTAATTTACCTTGATGAACTTTGGGATACACACTTGAGACAAAGGGTAAGATGACAATTAATAGTGATGATGTTGATCACAATTAAAAAAATGATGATTAGTTGAAGTAGAAAATTAATTTATCAGATAAATTATATTAAATATTAAAATTATTGAATACGAAAACAATTTAATGATTTAACAATTTGATGATTGATTGTTGATTGTTGATGATGTTGTTTCAAAGGCACTGATTGAATGATGATGATGATGAAAAAATTAAATGATGATTATGATTAGGTTATGATGAAAGTGATGATGATGATTTGATGATAATGTTTTATGATGATTATTATTAATTAATGGGTTGTTTTCAACTTTAATCAATGATTAATCACGTGGAGTTTGAAGGTTGTTGTTGTTTTTTGTTGTTAATTGTTGACTAATAATATTAATGGACATTTGGAGTAGTAGTTGTAGTTGTAGATTAGTTTGTATTTTCATCCCTGGTTCAAGTTGATTGTTGGTTAATTGATTTTATTTGCGGTGGAAAATCAAATCAGGAAGGTAATTTTAATGATGAGATTGAAATTATATCGGTTGATAATTTTAATTGTTGCAAAATAATCAATTGATTGTTGAATGATGAAGACATGCTTAAGATGGAAACTGTAATATAAACATGTAAACACTTTTAACAGAAACAAACTTAAGGATAAAAAAGGAGCGAAGGTAATAACAACGCTCTGGTAAGAAAGTAAGTGGAAGATGAAGATGAAGATGAAGAGAGAGAGAGAGATGATGATGATGAGAAAGAGACAGACAGACAGACAGACAGAGAGAAGAGAGAGCTCGGGGAGATTGGGAGCCAGGAGAGTGAGTGAGAGAGAGAGAGTTCACTCAGGTAATAGCGCTGAGATTTAGTCTTGAGTGAGTGAGTGAGTAAAACTAAATGAATGGAGAGAGAGAGAGAGGCCTAGGAGGAAAGAAGGTGCCAATATGAAAGAGAAAAAGAGAGTGAGAGAGATGATGATGATACTAAAGAAGAAGAAGATAGCTCTTTCTTACCTTTCTTCTTCTTCTTCTCTTACTAACTTGTCATTTAGAGAGATAAGAAAGAGAAAAATTGAAAGGGATGTCGTTTGCTCTTCTATTCATCATCTTCTCCATCTTCTACTTTGGCCTCTACATTAATGAAAACTTCTTAAAGACGTTAAAACGTTTTTCAGACTCTCTCTCTCTCTCTCTCTCTCTCTGGTCTTCATCTTCCTCTTCATCTCTTCCTTCCTCTCTTTCTCTCTCGTTCTTTCTTTATCTTCCTTCGTTATTAACTAACGTCCATTTTTTCTTGTAATTTGAAAATAATCAACTCAACGAAAATGGCAATAGTTGAATCCCTTAATTTCCGTTTCCACTCACACAATTAAACGGCTGAGAAGGTTAAGAAATTTAATTAATTAAAGTAAACGAATCACTAGTTACCTTGAAAATTTATAATTTTAATTTCTCAAGGAACCAAATTAAAGTCATTCTCAGCTAATCACTAAAAATAATTACGATGATATTGACTGTTAATTTTTGACCATTTTGAAACTTAATTCAAAACATTTTTCATTATTTGATTTCTTTTCTTCCTCTAATTATAAATCAAAAGAATACAACTAATCAACCAATATTTTTTATTCATTCGATCTCAGGTAAAATGTATGGGGTGATTCGTCGTCGACATGGACGAACCATTCATGGCGATATGCAACAAGGATCGTCCAGTTTCACCGTTACTGCGATTTTACCTGTAATTGAAAGTTTCCAATTCTCGAATGAGATTCGTAAGCAGACCAGTGGAATGGCCTTACCTCAGCTCGTGTTCAGCCATTGGGAGGTGGGTTTTGTCGTTATGGTCACTCGTTGATTCACCATGATAATAATTTTACTCTTCCAATCTTAAATTTTCTAATCAATCTCATCTTTAGACACTAATTAACTCTATCAACCTTTATTTCATGCTCTTTCTTTACTCTCTCGCCTACCTTTCGATATTTATCTTCCTTGTCATCATTATCATCCTACTAATCTTATTTTATATGTTTACTTTTTCCTTTTCTAGGTTATTGATATTGATCCTTTTTGGGTTCCAACCACCGAAGAGGAGTACGAATTGTATGGGGAAAAAGCTGATACTCAGAATCGAGCTCGAATTTATATGAACTCAGTTCGAAAGCGAAAAGGACTTCCAGTTGATGAGAAGATTGTTGAACATGCAGAGAAGCAAAGAACTTTCAAAAGAAATAAATAATATTCGACGAAAAGAAAAGACTTAAATTTGGAATTTCAATTAATTATCGTTACAATTTGTACTTTGATTTGTTAATCACTTTTTTTCCTTCTTTCATAATCTAAAGAGTAATTATTTTGATTCCTCGAAAAGTAAAAACTACAAAAATATGTTGACATCTCCATGGAATTTACTTTTTTATAGTTACAATTTCATGTTGATTAAGTTTTCTTTTTACTTAATAAACAAAAAAAAACGTAAATTGGTTCTTTTTTACTTTTAATTGAATTTCAATTGTTTTCATTTCTCTTTCATTTTTAATTTTTTTTTCTCGTAATTTTGACTCTTTGAAAATCGCGCGTTTCTTTTTGTTGTTCACTGTTTTGTCGCCAGATGGCAAATCAGTCTAACTCCAGGAAAAGGTTAAATTATTTTCTTGTTGTTTGGAAGGTCAAACAATTAATTTTAATTAATTTGATCGAATAATTAATTTCTAATTAGTTCCAATGGCTTTGTTTAAGGTTACCCAAAACCTCGCTCGTCGAAATTGGTATCGAACTGGTGTATTCCAGGTAAGAAAAGTGTTTTATTCTCTCACCTAAATGAGCGTTGAGATTTTTCTCAATTAATGTTTACCTATTTTCCAATGTTAAAAAATTCTTTTCTCTTTATTAATCAATTGTTTCAATTTTTTCTTCTGGGCCTATTAATTATTTGAAATTTCTTTTGGTTGATGATTCATTTTAATACTATAACTGATTGGATATGATTAGTTGGCTAGTCGAAATTTCTCTGAGGATCCTGCTCCAACTCCTGTACGTGTATGGAAACATTGGAAAGATGTTCCAGATCATTTGATTAAAACATATTCTGAAAGAGATCCTCATAATGCTGTCTATTCTGATCCAAGTTGGATTGTTTTGAAAAAGAAGCAACTCTGGTGGACTCAAGATTATAACATTAACGTCGCTTTCCCCGATGGTAAAAAGGATCTTTACATAAACAATGTCGTCTTACTCATCTTACTTTTTGGTGGTCTTTACACTTGGTATTTATCTTTAGAGGAAGATATTACTTTATATCGTAAGAAAGTCAAAGAAATGCGATCAAATCCTCCTGATTGGCGTACACCTGCAGATAAACGAGGTCTCGTTTTCTGTGAAAGTTAATTCTTAGGTTTTTATTTGGAGTTTGAAGTCATTAACACACACAAACAAAAACACAAACAACAATAAGCATATTATATGTAAGTCTAATCTCCTTGTTATTTGTACACTTGAGAGGACACACAATGATTTCTTTTCCATCCCTAAGGCTTTAAATTAGTGTTTTGAAAAAAGAGTGTCTCTTTCTCTCTCCAAAACTATATAATACTACACAAAAGAGAAGAAAAAAAAACAATATAATGTAATAAATAATTTGTGAACAATTTACGTTAACACTGCTATTAAAAAATCGTAGTGAGAAAAAAAAATTAAACAGTTGTTTCAACAACAGCTAATTGTTGATTGTAATTGTCAATCTTTTACATACACACACCGGTTGTCAATCTAATTCGTCTAATGATTTGTACACATCTCTCAATGGAATTGTTGTCATTTTTTTTTTGTTTACAATTTAATTTGGAGCATAAAAATGTTTAAGTTATTGAAAATATGGAAACAATTAAAGGATGAAGACAATTTTGGATAATCAACTTTTAGAGAGTAAAAAAAAAAAAAAGGTGAATGAGTTGGTTGAAAGTGGAATGAGATTTGATTTGATTAGTTGAATCTTATTCTCATGAATCGAGTTTTTTAAATTGTGATTCCAATTTCTTTGTATAACTGTCGATTGCGTAGGCCATTTCCTCTAAATTGTTGATATTTTTTTCCAATTTATCAATTTGTGCAAAGTAATTACCCAAAGTGTCGTATTTACTTTTTAATTGGTGATGTGATGAAGCAATTTCTTTACACTGAGTGGCCATCTTTTCATATTTCTGGAATAAAAAGGTAATAACAATTAAGTATATCGACATAAATCGAAGCCTAAGTAAGGTGGCAATCAAGTGATTAATAGAAACAATTAAATGTTTAATTACTAACCTTTGTCGTTACCTTATTCATTTCCTCGAGAAGTTTGTAGTCCTCTAAGGCGATCGACATTTCACTTTTTAAATATTCTTTAGTTTTTGTAGACAAATTAGCAGTTTTTTCTTCAATTGTGGACATGATTAACTGTATTTTTTAATCAAGAAATCTATAATTAAAAGATCATAAAGATTATAATCAAGAAACTATCAATCAATCAATATGAAGGTGTAACTCCAATACAAACCAAACATTAACCCGAATTTAGAATCAGTTTAACTAAAATTTTCTCCCAATTTCTACTAACAGTTACAGTTCAAACTGATCTTCAGTTACTCAAGTTATCAGTTCACTAATTAAAAATGGACACCAATCCGTTGGAACAATTAAATTAATCACAATTAAATTGAGAAAAAAAATGTAACCAAACAAAAGGGAATCAAAAAAATCAAAACAATCGCTAAAAGATATTGGATACAACAAGATACTCGATATTGGTTATGGAAAGAAAATTAAACTTAACTGAGTGAACTGAATCGATTTTAAGTCTGGAATATAATCTAGATCCAAAGTAGTGTTCAGTTGAATTGAACAATTAATTAATTGTCGGGTTAAATTTTCCATTATTTAAAGGTCACAATTAAGATAAATTATCTGTTTGTTTTGGATCGATAAAAGATTAGTTTGTATACGAATTCATAGAGGGCGTTAAGGGTATTGAGAATTTTTTTCTCTTCTTTGATTAAATTGTTGAGTTAATTGTTTTTGTTTCTCTATTTTCTTAATTATCTCTTGTAACTTGATTACTATTATCATTGGAATTATTATTTATTCTGAATCATCCATGTGTGGGTACTGATTAATTCTCTCATGGTGGTTTGGAGTTAATCTGATGGTTGAATAATAAGGAAATGGATCAAGCCGACAAATCAAAATTGGAATTGTAAATCTAAACAAACCTGAAGCAATTAACTCTCTCTCTCTCTCCTCTTGGAATTAGATTTAATCAGTTAAATATTCCGTCATTTCCTTAACAATCATCTTAACTGTCATCTATCATTTGTCTCTATCATCGGATCTAAATCACTTTACCAGAATCTAAATGAATCGGCTTGGAAACACCGGTAATATATTGAAGAGCTTGAAGATTAATTTTTCTAATTCTTTTCTCTTTTTTTTCTTCTATTCTTTCAAATGTCAATTCTACTCTAAATCAAATTGCTTATTTGGATGATTTAGAAGGATAATATTCATGTTATACAATCACAAAGTAACCAAGGAAAATCACACAGAAGGAGAATGGAAAAGCCAATCAAGCTTGATTTTCAATTTTTCTTCCACCAAATCATTAACTCTTGGATTTATGGATTCATTTGACAAAAGGAAAATTATTTTCTAATCAAGTTGACTATTTAACCTCATTAACTTTCTTAATCACCGATAATACACCAAAGGAAAAGAGGAACCTGTTGAAAAGTATATGCACCATGTACCAGGGGAAATTGTTACCCATCATCATCAACATCTCCGATTCATGTAATACAATCAAACATTATTACCAATGGTTTGATTACCTTTTACTGCACCAATTTACAGTAATCAACAATACAACTGCCACTAATCAACAACGATAATATCATGATGATGGAAAGGAAAAGAGAAAGTTGTTCAATTAATTTCTTTGATGAGGACGCCAATGACTTTCTTTTTGCTTAAGTTAATTGACTTGATAAAGGTAATCATACTCATTTGAGTATGAAGTGATCAGTTGATTGTGGTTAATGATAAATAACAAGAACCAGTTATTTATCAAACAAACATACTCTGGCCTACCAAAGGTAATCAAAAGTAATAACTATTCAATGATTATGATTAACTATTTATTTTCATTTCTATCGCTAATATACTGATACATATCATTTCCTTTTCTTTTCACATTTTTAGATTTCAATGTTTTCCAATTGATTAAATTGCTTATTGCTTTCCATCAAAAGGCCAATCAAAGGATCAAAAACAAAATCAACTCAACCATTAACTCTCATTATAACCTTTGATTTCTTGTTGATTATCAATCGGTTTTCATTATTGGAAAATCATTTTCATCATGATGATAATTTTTATGATTCTTTCATTATTAGATTCAAATCCTTTCTCAAATGAAACAACAATTTAACATCCATTAATTGTTGTCGTTTGTCTGAATGTGAGATAATTTAAATAACAAATGAGATTTAAATCGTAAATTGTTTACATTGAGGCGGTAAATTCTCAACGAAACTCAAGAATTAAGGTAAATACAATTAACAATCAGGTAAATATACTCATTTGAAATGATTACTATTTCATAATTACACAATTAATATCATTGATTTAGCGATTAGATGAAAGTTAAGTATGCGTCAAGTGAATCATTGAGATATTTATGGTAAACAATTTAACCTAGAAAATTGAATTAACGTAACACACATAATTCATTGCAATCAAATTAATCATCTAAATCATACACATATAAGATATTGATGATATCAAGTATTAGTTAAGTATAAAAAAATCCCGTTATTTATAATTAACTATTTTTATCTTAATCAGTCAATTCAATTCCGGGGAAAAAAATGATTTTCTTAATTAATTTGGTTATCATTCATCTTACTCATTCACTTACAATCAATGACAATTAACTAAATAACATATAAATTAATTTACTATAATATTAACACACTAATAATAAGGCTTATTAAGAGTCCCCGCAATTTAAATTAACCTTAATCACAATTAATTTGAACACTTGAACAACTTTTCTCTCAATATAAATAACAATGATCATGATTTAAGTTAATTGTCATGATTTGTGTACGTTAAAGGAAAACAAATAACCCAAACTAACATTTAATTGATTTATCTTTAGACAATAACAACTATCATTTCCTCAACAATTAATAAATCATTTTGATAATAATCTAATCTTGTTTCCCACTGACAATCAAACCAATGAAAAAAAGTTTAAATGTCCAAAAGGCAGTTAATTGTTTTCCATTATAATAATAATCACTTAAATAATATAAAGCTTATCAATCATGTCAATCAATTTTAATTATCATGTTAACAGTATAATAATTTGAAAATTTATTTACCTTTCACCTTAAATAATGAACAATTTAATTAATCAACTTTCACACTGGGAAAATGATTGATTCCAGGAATCTTTAATATTCAATAACTAATTAGAATGATATAAATTTTTTTTTCTCTATTCAATTTAATTATAACAGAATCAAAAGGAGAGAGAGAGAGAGACAACCACAGAGAGATAAAATGGAGATGAAGACAATCAACTGATCATAATGGTAAATCATTAATTATATTGATGATTAAATCTAAAGCAATTTATCAACGGATTGTTGATTAGGATTTTGGGATGCGGATCATGATTTGTTTTTTATCATTCAAATGAATCAACATCTTTAAACATTTACATCTTTCCCTTTAAAAAAGGATCAACTTAACTGTGAATATATTAACACATTAACCATTTACAGTTTATCATCATCATCATCATCATCATCACAAGTATGACTCATTGAATACTGATGAGGAAAAGATGAAGATGATGATGACTTTCAGGGGAGAGAGAGAGAGAGAGACTAAACTCCCAATTGCTATCATTAGGGGTCAAGAGTAATGAAAAGATGCTCCTTCCTCTGAAGAGCATCCTCTTCATCCTCCTCCTCATCCTCTTCTTCATCATAACTGAACATTTATCCTCCTCCTCTCTCTTCATCTTCCCCATGACCATTAGACCGGAGTAACAGCAATTTAAACTTGTTAGTTAAATTGAAGAGGTAACTTTCCTAAATTATAATCATCATTATCATCAACCCAATGGTGGTGGTGGTGATAATGATGATGAGTAGTTAGTAGTTATCTTTTTATTATTATTACTGTTGTGTTGTTGTTGTTGTTTTTTATCTATTGATTGTAATTTGAAGTTACTAATTTAATTAATTGCTACCAATCGTAACCAATACCATTTTCATGGTTAAGTATCAACTTAGAGTTAAATTAGTGAAACCAGAAGAATCCTTCAACTAATCATAATCAAATCAATTGATTGTTATTGGTAAAATTTCACTATCCATGTTAATACAACAATTTAATCAAAGTTTTATACTTTTTTTATGATTAACCTTTTCTCATATCAGTTGAAGTAAAAAACAAACAAACCTAATAATCACAATTAAATTATTACCATAATTAGAATTACTATTAATATAATGATAATTTTAATTGTGTTGTATTTTTAGATTGTTGTGGTTAATGTTTGTTTAATGATAATCATTAGTGTTTCGATAATATCTTTTTGTTTCATAATTTGTTTGTAATGTTATCGATTCCAATCGATTCCTATGAGTAATTCAGTAATCGAATGAGTCACCAAATGCTCCCTTTTTGGTTAATATGTTTCCGCCTCCTTCTCATCATCATCTGTCTTTCTCTCTATCTCTCTCTTTGTTGATATTATGTAAAATATCCCATAGATATTTTTTCCCGCTTCATGTGAATTGTGAATTTTTTTTCCTCCGTTTCAAAAGCTTCCGTTGCCATCATTGTCCATCAATTTTCATCACAAAGAGAGAAAGTCTCATTGATGATGCTGATAAAGATGATGGAATCATCATCACGCTCATAGATGATTCTGACTCATTTTTGAGTTTCATCTCTATCTGTCTTTTCCGTCCTCCCTTTCATCATCATCATCATCTCTCTCTCTCTCTCTTTCCCTATTTTCCCTCTTCCACTGCCTCCACAGCTTCAATTGCTGTTTTCATTTTAACTCATGAAAGTTTATCCTCCTTTTGTGATGATGATGATGATAATAATAACAACAAACCCAATAATCCGTCAAAAATGAACGTTAAGCCCAATAGAGAAGAGGAAGGTTTCCCTTTGGAAGGCGCGTGCAAAGTCAAAGTTAAGGTCACCAACACAGAAGAAAAAGTCGAATTGCATCAAAGAGATGATGATGAGCATCAGACGATGATGATGATGATGATGATGCATAAAGAGTGAGAGAGAAAAAAGTGAGCAACTCACCTTCTCTCTCTTTCTCTCATCCAGGTAATACCGGAATGTTGTCAAACAGGTTCCATAATCTTTTCTCATAGGCTTTTCTTTCAAATCTCTACATCTACTCTCACCTTGATTTCCACTTTCCTACCTTTAGATTTTTCTCTCTTGACGTAACTTTCATCTTCTCTTTCCCTCCCTAACCCACCTCATCATCATCATCATCATCATCATCTCTCTCTCTCTACCCTGTTTCCCTAGTTTCTTCAACCCACCTCACTTTTACCACCACAGACTAATACAAAAGCCTTTTCACCAGACAGAGCATGATGATGATGATGGGATGATGATAAAACACTGACAATCAGGTTTCTCTTTCCTAATCTTCTTGATTGTTTGCAATTAAACAATTCACCTTTAATTTCAATCCCCGATAATAATAAAAATGAACACAGTTACCGTTGATTATTTGTTTCCAAATGATCATCATTATATTAATTATCACAATAATAACATTGTCCATTTTTTTATCGTTATTATCATGAAGACAAAAAATCCATAAATGTGACAATAACATTATTTGGACAGTTGATTGAACAACGACAATAATAATAATGATAATTATCAATTGTTATTGTTGATTATTATTTCTGTTTGATAATAAACACAGTAAATAAGGAAACAATAGCCAATTGTAAACAATTAAATTACTTGAATTTAATATTAACTGTTAATGATTTTTACAATCAAACATTTGCCTAATGCTTTTTCATTATTGAATTTAATATTTTATTCAATTCAAATATTTAATTTAGTTTCACATTCACTTAAAAATTTTCACTGTTATTAATTAGTTTTTGTATTATTATTATGGTTGAGCTTAATTAATGTTTTCTGTTTTTAATTGTTATCATTAACCCGCAAGGGATGTTGATGATTTAAATTTTTCATTTGTCATGATTATGGTTACGGTTAAGTTAATCAACATAATGAATGTTAATTTAATCAACGGACCATTTGAGTGACATTTTCAGTTTAATTGCTCCTGATGATCATTTGATTCCTGCAAATAATTTAAAAATAATTTACAATCAGTTAATTATCATTGAAAATTTGAATCTTGAAAGTTTCAATTGTTTAATAAAAACACAATTTATTGATTAATCACTTTTATTGGTACAATTAACTGTTGATTGTTTTGTTAAGAGTTGACAAAAAATTCAATTGATAAATTGTTGACAATTGGGTTAACAATTAAAAGTTTATTGTTGGGATTTTTATTTTGATGGATCAATTTTATTATTAAATTAACTCAGCAAGTTTTCAACAATTAACTAGCTGATTGTTGTATTTATCATATACAGCAAGTGATTAACTTGATTTTCTGAAGCCTAATTAAATTGTCGCAATTAAAAAGAAAGCCAAAGTTAATTAGATTTGAAATGATTCCATGATAACTAAATCAACTAACTAACCAATTAACTTCCTGTTACCCTGAGGAGTGGTGACAATTATATTATTATAATTGTAACAATGATAAAATTTACACAGAGACAATGATTATAACCTTTATTTGTTAATTGACAAGGACAATCAACAATGATGATTATCAACAATCATCAGAATGATATAAATAGACACTTAATCAACATGAAACATTGTCCTTGATTGTTGATCATTTTTGTTTTGTTTTGTTTCATCTTCTTCCTGATATTATGTATCTCAACAATTGTTAATCGTCCGTGATCATGATTGTTATCATAAACTACCAGACAATTAGTTTAATTGTCGTGTAACTAGATTATGATTAAACCTTAATGATTGTTGTAATTGTTTTCAATGAATTACCATGATTACTATTTATCTTTATGGGATTTTTTGAATACGTTCCTGGAAAATATTAAATTGCTCAAAAATGTAAACAATTTACAATCTAATTAGTTAATTGTTTGAGTTTATTTTCTTGTGGAAAAATATTTCAATGTTAGTAATTTCAATTGTAGATTCAATTTACTAATTATTATTAATATTTTTTTTTCCATACCAATCAAATAATAAGTTAATCATTTTAAGTGTAACTTGATTACTTTGAAAAAATCTGAGTAATTTAACCAATCAGGAAATTAAAACTCTTAATTGTTACCAATGGTGTTGATTGTTAAGTCCATTTGAAGGTTATGATGATTATTATTATAACAGGTTTGTTGTAACAGTTAACTAATTGTTTACCTGAATCATTTGATTTTCAAGTGAATTTAAATTGTCTGAATGAAAATGAAATTAAAAACAAAACCTTGAATTTGAATACGTTTGTGAAACAATTAACTTATTACTCACATTAAATGAGTCATTCCTGTGTTAATAGTTAATTAATAGTTGATTAAATATCCTTATGAATGAAATGAGTGAAATTACAATCACATAACATAATCAGCTGATTACAAAAGCAATTAAATGAGTAACAATTTAAATATTTACTTGTTTTACAAAGTTTATCATTCTCAAGTTTCTGATAATTGTAATTTCCCGTTGTAAGAGTCAATTGGGATTCATTGTAAGAAATTAATTCCACCAATTCTCATGAATTTTATATCAATTTTCATGAGGATGAAGATGAAAACGATTGTTATTATTACCTTTGTGAGTTAATTTACTTTTTTTCTGCTTCTCTGTAACGAACTGATAACCAAGAGAGATGATTAAAGAATCGGTTCCAATGATTTACCACAAGTTACCCACTTCATGGGAATTGCTGGTGATCATCAGGATAATAACAAGGATGAGGATGGAAAAGTACAGTTAGTCTTTGGTTTTATATTTTCCATAGAAAAGAAAACATCAAATCAAATTGAGATTCACTTCACGAACTTTTTATTATCATTGAAATTGTATTTCTACATTCAATCGAAACCAATACAATTGTAATTGTATTCCAACAATCAATGTAAACAACAACAACAACAATCATTTATTTCTGACAATCAGCTGAATGATCAACAATCAATGGATCTCAGGAAATTAGTGTTTTCCAATTTCAAGCTTAGTTAAAGTTGAGAAGTTGAAATTTATTGAAATTGTTGATTAGGTGATTGATCAAATGTTTAATTTCAATTGATTACCATGATGATTAACTAACATTTATCATGAAATTTAGTATCAGTTGTTGTTGTCTCTAGTTAATTTTAATTCTTGTCACTTGGTTACCATTGATTGTTATCAATCTATTACTTGGGGTGATTTCAGTTATCAGGTAAAATTTGATTGCTGTGTGATCGCAATTTGTTTTGTCAAGAAAACTAAAACCTAATCATTAACTAACCAACAACAACAATTAACAGAGACACTGACAAACACAATCAATGATACCAACTGATAACTGGACAGTAAGTAATTTATTATTAACCTTTAAATGGTTAATACTGTTCATCTCTCTACCTGTGGATACCACTGATAACCTTTACCACCCCCTAAGGGTTAAACCATTAACTGACCTCAAACTGACCATTAGAAATTAGTCAATCTATTGGGTCACTTGAAGGTAACTTTCACATTCCAATTGACGTTGTACTTTCTTTTCCAGGTAAAAGGTAAAAGGTAAAGAGAAACTTTTTTCACTCTTCTAATGGACAAAACTTTACTTCCAATCCATTTATTGTTCATCTCTAAATATAGTATATTCGTTAATTGTTGTTACCTTTATTGTCCAAATCTAATCGACATGGAAATCGATCAACGATTCGGTCAGTCTATTATTCAATTGTCCAATTTGTGACAGAAGATTAAATTTATTGACCATTGGATGATGACCTATGGCCCCCAGTTTCCAATTGCAATTTATAAATAACTGTAATTACAAAAGTTTCCCTTGTTGACCTTTAAAAATTTGAAATACGAAAAAAAAATGAGCAAAAAAAAAAGTTAACTGTTAATTGTTGTTTTCCAATAAAATGATTAATTGCTCAACATCAACAATTAAACCATGAAAATTAATGTTTATGTAATAATAATAAGTTAATTTAAAACTTGAAAACAAATCATTTAATGATAATTTCTCAGATTTAATAACAATCAAAAACAAAAAGATAATCATTTGGACATGATAATAATAACTGACCATTAACTATAACCAATTGATTTGATTGTAATCATCTTTGTTTTTTTCCCAAACTGTATCATTATAAAATATTAATATATATATGAAATTGTCTGATTATGATTAACAATTAACTGATTATTATTGTTATCCCAGGGCAGAGCAATTTACCATTAAATTAAATATCACATTGACATTATGATTAAGTATCACAATAAATACCAATGGTAATATTTGCATATTAAAATCACATTTATTATCATATTAAAGTCTATGGGAAAACTATGTAACCAGGTAAATAATAAATTCCCAGGTCAGTGGATAATAATAATAATACAATTTAAATTGTGCTCACAACTATTAACCATCCAAATAGCCAAATTAATGCATAATAATAATGATAATCCGTTAATCTGTTAACCTTAATCTTCACGTGTCATTGTAACGGTAAAATTTTGAACCCAGAAAATATCAGGTATCATTTATATTATTATTATTTATATCTATAAGATGATAAATACCTTTGATTTATTTACCTGGAAAAATCTAGTAGCTAAAAAATAACAATACAAAAAGAGCCTATTAAGTTAACTTATTTACCTGTGTATTTATATATTGCCCCGGGCGATTCAAGGATTTACCTTGTTATTTGTTGAAGAAAAGTTTTTCTCCTCAACTAGAATATTTAATTAATCTAATATTAGCTTTAAACTATTGGATTAGCTTCTAGAACTTTATTTAATTTTATTTCTTCTTCTTGTTATTAAATTGTTTGATTTAATTGTTTGATTTTCTCTCTGGGTTAAAGTAAATTGTTTACTCAATGGTTAATCTGATTAACAGGTTGATCAGCATCTTAATTGTTTCTTCTTGCTTTCTCAATAAATGATTATCCTTGATTTTATTTTTGATTACATTTCTGATTACATTTAATATTTGCAAATGATTAACAATTAATAATAATAATATTGCAATTGAGTTTCAATTTAGTTATGATCATCATTGATTAACAACAGTGTTTACTATTGACAATTAAATGTTAAATTGATTTCACCTTGATTGTTGTAGGCCTCAAATTTGATCTGATTTGATTATTTAGTTTTAATTGTTGTTGTTCAACTTCAAGCCAACACAATTACAATTAAACGTTTATAAAGATTGATTTGTATTAAGGAAAAAGTTTTCATTGATTTGGTTTTGTATCAATACATAATCAGAATCGATTGTAGCAATTAAAAGTTTTGAAACTTGAAGATAATTTAATCAAAAACCTCTGAAATTAATTAATTAAATCAGTTTATTTTTCTTTGAATTAATTTGATTGTCAATCAATTCTCATTCAATAATTTACCTGACTGGTTTACTCTATGTAAACATTATCCAGGTTAATCATTGATGATAATTAACTGATTGATTGACTGAAACTATGACTATTTAACTTTACTAATCATTAACGATAACTTAATCATTAACCACAATCAATCAATGATTAATAAACTGTCAACTTTTTTTTTAATCTCTCAATCAAATATATAAATAAATATACTTTTCATATTAATATTTTTTTTTTGTCCTAATCATGATTAATTTTAATCAATCGATGATGGTTAATTACATTGACAATTTAAAGTTGATTATTACCACTTCTTAATTGCAATTAGCATTCATTTCATTTCACTTAATCACGATTAGATTGCAAGTGATTAAATATATATATCATGTAACCGGAAAGCTATTTAATCATCTCTAATTGTAATTAGATATTTACACCAAAAAAAGGCAACAATTAGTCAGATGATTTGTATTGATGGTAAATTAAGTTTTCGTTTAATTGTTGTTGGAATTTTGTATTTTGATTACCTTTTAATTGCTGTTGATTGTTTCACTGATAATATTGAGTATTGAATTGGATAAATAAGCCAAGGTAAACACAAGAGATACTCTTGATTATAATTGTTATTATCATGATTAGTTAATTGTCTTTGGTTTAGGCCAATCATTGGAATCGTTGTCACCTCATTTAGAGTTGATTAAGCTAAGATTGTGATGGAAAATGATTAAGATGTGTAAATAATTACCGTTAATCATAATTGATTTAAAGGTTAACAATCAATTCCTATTCACCTGTTTGATTATCATTTTATTGATTAAATTGTCTAACAATTATAAGTATTAATTAAACAACAACAATAATAATAACAACAACATATTGTATTCATTGATTAATCATCAGATATTTCAATTACAATTAGTAATATGATTTAATCAACAATGGATTAACAATAAACTTAATCGCGAAATTAATTGTTGAACTTTTTTTTTGTTCATTCGCTGCTATTGTATTGGTGTTCAGGTTAATTGTTTGCACTTTAATTAACACAATTATTACCAGGAAATAATGTAATTACCAAGGATATGAAAGGTAATTTAAGATTTCATGGTGATTTGATTAAAGAAAGAGAAATAAATCAAAAAGTTGTTGATGTTAAATTAACTTTAATTGTTATTGATTGTTATGTATTTGATCATCAAGGAAAGAAAAATTAGTTAATCAGTTAATAAGTTTTATGAACGAAAAAAGCAAAACATAATCAATTGAATTTGAAAAACGTAGTAAATGTTAATTACCATGATGATGGCAAAACTTTTCAGTTCATAAAATGAAAAAAAAAGTTCATTCATGATTATAACCAGAATGAAATGATTTCATTCATGTTTACAACCATGAATGATGAGTAAGTGGCTGAGTCATTCCATGAGATATTTATCATCATGAATCATGACGATTACATGATGATGATGGTGATTAATTACGATAAGGTAAACACCGAATCAGTTTCATGCATATAAAAAGATTGAGAAAAAAAAAGGATACAAAATATTTTCCTCTTCCTAATCATCATTGGGCCTCATCATCCTGATCCTCCATCATCATCATCATCATCCTGAGCCTCATCATGTTTATCCCTGAGATTATGCAAAACTTAATCTCATTGTTATTATCCGAAATGAGATTAAATAGTTAATCAGATGTTAAACTATTTGTTTCTCAATAGCAATTAACCAGATTGCAATTTAAACTTTTCCTCCTCCTGATCAAACCTTAACTGCCCAGTAAATGGGTTTTAATTGTCTTAATTGTTATCAGCTCTTTTTCATTGGGCAATATGTTTACTCATTTAATTGAAATTTAAACTGTACACAATCAAATTGCAATAGGATGTTTATCTTAATCACTATCATCATTTACAATGTTGATTGTTGAGCCTAATGTTATTAAGGATTAAACATTAAAGTAAACACATAAGTAAAATTGATTATGTTAATCGATAATTAAATTGATTAAAAGGCAAAATAAACTAATATCAATTGATGAAATTGTTATAATGATAACAATGATAATGATGATGGTGTACCACCCACAACATAAATATATCATCATCTTCATCTTGATCCTCATCAATTTCATCACCAGCGGATGTTTATATTGTTGATTAGTCTTAAATTGGTTTCCAATGAGTGTTAACAATCAATTGATTTTCTTGTATTAAACTAAACTACATTATAAACCATATGGAAAGATAAATGATGTTGATTAGTTGCTACGATCGTAACTAAATTAACTAATCAAAGTGTCAAACCATAATTATCATCATCCTGTTTATCATCACTTTAATTATCAACATCCTCCATTATCAATGAGGATGATACAATTATTTACTCAATAAACAATGATAATGATAATCAAAATGGTGACCACATCAATGATAATATAAACTTGTCATTAGTGTAACAAATTAAGTTGATTTAATCAACTGTATATTCATTTGATTATTTATACATTTGCTTGATTTACTGATTGTTACCATTTAATTAGATAATGAAACGGATTCATGGTCATCAGAATACAGTTAATCAAGTTGATTATCAGTTACTAATCAATTAATTTCTTATACGAAAAGAAAATGTTTCATCAAAAATAATGAAAACCATCAATAAGATTCTGTCAACCTGATAACTATATTTAATTAGATTAGAAAAGTTGATCAACATTAATCACCATCATTAGTGAAATTGTGATGATGAAGATGATCAAAATCAACAGGTAACCATGGTGATAAATCAACATCCTCTTTTGTCAACAATGTAAACACAAAAACTATTTGAAAAGCGAGAAAAAGTTGAACCTTGTTTCCGTTTTAATTTAGTTTGTTGTCTTCATCATTAACGATAAAAATCATTCAGGTAAATGATGACGATAATGGTGATGAGAATGAGAGAGAAAATTTCATCATTGTATTTCCTTTGGTTACCTGGACGATAATGCCAGAAAAAAAGTTTCGAAAAAGTTTGTTGACTTTATCGAAATCGAAAGTTTGATCAGCAAACAAAATAATCTATTAAAAAGTAACAATGTTGACGGTTTAATGGCCTCAGGTGAATGATGATGAAGAGAAAGATGAATTGAATCAGTATCATGATCAACTTTTCAAGTAGAACTTTTTTTTTGTTTCGATTGTAACTTCGAAGACAGAAAGAAAAAGTTTCTCTTCTCAACGAAATCGATTGAAAATTTATCAGGTTTTGTTAATTATTAAATTTACTAATTGTTTATGTTTCGTCAACAATTTGAGTTGGCTAATTTTTGATTGTACATAAAGAAAAATATAATAATGATAATGATCAAATGATTAGTTGTCAGGGTAACTTAATTGTTGTTAATCACTGGAATTGAATAATTAAGTCATAAAAACATGAACATCAATAACCTAATGATAATTTGAAGTGATTATAAATTGTGTGTTATTAGTTAATCGTGTTAATAATCATGATGAACAATTTGTTATATAATCAATCATTAAGGTTGATAATCTGATCACCAATCAAATGTATGAATATGATTTAGATGATGAATTACATTTTCATGATGATTGTTGAAACTTTTCCCCCTCTGATTTAGATAAACATAGAGAGAAGAGAGAGAGAGAGAGAGAGAGAGAGATAAATATGTCAATGAAACGAGAAGATAAATATTATCATGTAAGATGAATATGGTCATAGAGTGAGTAAGATAAATATGAGAACCAGAATTTCCAGAATAGGAAAGGAAAGAAAAACAGGAATTTTCAGAATTTAGATTCATATTTGTTACCATTATCATCAGATGAAATTATAACTACTCCATGTAAAACCTGAGATTTGATTGAAACCAGAATAAGACA